AGCATCAGGATACCGGAGGGAATATGAGGCGCTCGACCGTTACCATCGAGATCGGTAACGGCTCGACTATACCTATTGAAACAATCAAAAGATTGCTTTGGACATAATTTCGTACAATACACTGTTGCGTCCCAGAACCATACAATGGCCAGTTGGTTTGTATACACATTACCTACACACCATCAACAAAGTACGCATTATATATTATACCTATATACATTATACATCTATATACACATACAATATGTTCTTATAGATACTTACCAAAGTGGAGATATGAAATAAGCATAAGAATAGGTATTCATGACTCATAATATGTTATATAGTTGTGAGTAGATTTTGATCATCTCTTACCATCACCCTCTTGTGTGGATTCTGATATGTATTATATGGAGGTTGTACAGAAGCGTAAAATTTTCACTTCTTTTTCTTGTTTTCTTTTCCCGTTATCTTGAATGTGCATGATCATTTTGACTTCAAATTTCTCATAATCATTTTCTATAAACTGCGATTCGTAATAGGTTAGGATCAAAAGTAATGCCATTTTATAGGCTTATATTCTACTTTAAGTCCCTATAGGTATATCTATATCATAAAATGTCGGTGATAATATTCCTATCAATTTCTTACTGGATAAAATGACACAAGCTATCATCCAGGTCCCATCATGTATATGAAGATATAAGATATCAATGTATATCATGTAGGCATTATAAATTAATAATTCAGAACGGAGTTGTAAGTTTATTCTAGAAGAGTGGTGTATTGATTCAGTGGAAATATTATTCGATCAGCTTCCAGTTCATTTCACATTTCAGTATGTATAGATTTCTCTTGATCAAGATAAACATTCACAAACAATAACTCACTAAACCATTCAGCAAATTCGAATAGTTAACAGCTGACGCCAGTATATATATATAGTTCTAAATTTAATTGAACGTATCTACAATAGAACCAAGACTATAACCGACGATATAAATTGAATCACCAGTAGACGAGCGAATTTCGAGAGCAAAGTCGCTTAGTTTCTGAGATAAAAAAAACTGGCGTAGAACCAGGTAAAACCTGGTCCATTTCTTCAATTAGGTGGTCGTGTACACGAAATCACTTTTTACGACATTTTTCAATGGTCGTGAACTTTTTAATTTCAAAAAACTCGAAAAAATGGATTAATATGTAAAACATGTTTTTTTACGTCTCCACCGTTATATCTCTCAAAGTAATTGTGGTTTTGGGCTGATTTTTTTTTCAAATAAAAGAAGATTCAATAGCGGTTCTAACCACCTACTTTGTGATTTTGATATATTTTTATTCAATCTGTTGAAATGATAACAAACTTGACATCGATATTTTTGTAGATGTAAATTATAGCAATCGATAAAAAACTTTATTATTGGAAATTTGTGTATACATTATGCGCACAAAATGGGGGGAATGTATGAAAAAAGTTTTTGGAATGATAATTTTTCATGTATGTATGTATGTATACAGTCAGCGATTTTAACAAAACGGACTAAAATTGCGCTCGGGCGCGCCCGGCTCTCTTATTACCCAGTTTATGACTGTCGACTACATAGGTAGCAGATCCGTACGTACGTTATGGTCGGACTTCTGATGGGATAATACCTTTTATTGTTTATATTTCAAAATATTGAACTATCTAAATGATACATCAATCAATGTTTCAAACTAAATTCTTTCCTTTTCCTCCAGAATGATTATTTATTCATTTTTGACCGGAACTAAAAACGTATGCATAAAACAACTTTTATTTTTTAATTATTCCAATAGATAAGGTACATCAAAAGTATTCAAGTTTGTCAATTTCTCCTATATCTTCCTCAGAATCTTCGGACATTATTACAAAAACGACATTTACAATCGTCACAACATTTTAGGCATTCTTTGAAACAACCACATTTTCGACTATCACAATTTTTATCCGAACAAAAGATACTTTATGATTGCCGAACAAAACCAGGAATTGGTTTATCATTCGAAAATATTGAAATCCAAATGTTGTTATTCAAATTCCATCCTGAACCATGTATTTATAAGTGGTGTTGCTAAGTTGCTATGTTGCTGCTGAACCATATTCTGAGTTGATATATACACCCAAAATTTTGATAGTCAACTGAAATATTGTCATCTTATTTCAATATAAATATAAGTATGTTCATAATGTAATAATGAATATAATTTTCACGTTCACCTTGAGATGTGCTGGTAAAAGGCACCTTCACTTGGGGGAAGCTCTGCAGACGGTTTTTTTAAGAACGTCAAACGTCGATTTTTTTCTAATTTTGAAAAAACTACTAGTTGTGTCGCAACCAGTAGAACAATGAAGTGCCAACAGACAAGAACACATTGTAGGTCCTGAACTTTGCACTACTTTTTCAATTGAGATAAATCGTTTGCTAGTACCGTGTCCAAGATGCATAAATAAATTACTTTCTTTCAACAAAAAAAGTGGATGAGTAAAATCTGCTGAATTCAGTTTCATGTATAGCATGCAAAATAATCCTTGTATCTGCCTCTTCATGTTTGTTAAAAAATAGAGCCTTAACAATTTCCGAATGATGTTTATGCATTGGAACTACTTTTTCTGACATTTTAAATCCCCTAGCTGTCATCAATATTTCATTTTCGTTCAAGTACTTTGCAGCGTTTTGTATTCTGTTTGGAAAAATAAGAACTGACTGTTTAATTTTATAAGATTTCAAGAAGTGTCGATATTTTTGTAATTTTCGGCTACCAATAACGTGCTTATAGCTTTCACAGAATTTTCATTGTAGGTGTCAAAAACTACCACTGTTCGAAGTGCTCGACATCTGCGCCCAGCATTAATTACAGCTGTCAAAAAAGTCCTCTCTAAATCGTTAAAAGTTGAAACTCGCGTATTTTTAAAAATTAATCTTATTAGTCGGACTGTTTATGGATCATGGCTACAATGTATTCTTATTGTAAATAAACTGATATGTTGCTGGTCCTCGCGGGCATTACAAGAACTCTCGTGTTACAAATTTAGCGATAACTATATTCAGTACCTAAGGTGAGCACTTTGACGCCCTGTACCAACTCAACGAAACGATTTTGGATATAGGTAAGTTGGCTAAAATGAACTTATTTCTGTCCCAGGAGTCGACAGTCAAGCCATGTCCCAACCAGATTATTTTTTTTTTCAAATGCATAAGATGCCTCAGATCATCAGAAATTATTTATTTGCAAATGAACCTCGAGACTCATCAAAAATTAACACGATACAAAAAATATTCAACAGATATCAAACTTTCCTTCTTTTTTGTTCCAGTACTACTGCAGATGAGGCACATTTTTCTGATATCAAATGTTTGTGATTCAAAGCGAGGTCCAGAATAATTTGAGGGTCCGGCCTCACTGTCATTTCGCAAAATACTATTAATATTTTGAAAGCTTGTGTGCGATTTTTGGCAGTCTGAGTGAAACTTTATTTTTAGGTCACTATTAAAAATTCTTTTTTTTTTGCGACAGAATTTCTTTTGACTGATTGTCTTGTCTCCTCTCAGCACTTGCTATTAGTGACAACAATCCTTGTATTCTAGGTCTTTGAACCACAGATTTGTCATCATCCCGCACAATATTTCCACAAATAATACACTCCATTTTCTCAGAGAACTTCTTATAAATATCGGCGCATGTAGATGTTACGCTGAATGCCGTTTACATCAAACTAATCCACCCTCGTCTTCCGGTGGCGCGTGCCGATATTGAGCGAGAAATAAAAAAATCATTGTTGCTAAACTATACAAAATGGGGGAAAAATAATCAGCTCAAAAACTTCTATCATATATGGGCTTCATTTGTTTCGCTATATGTATACAAAAATTTCCAAAATTAAAAAATTTTATCGATTGGTGCAAATTGTAATGCATAAATTCTGAATTCCATGCTCTCTTGATTTTTGAAAAATGAAAGAAGAAAATTTTGTAAAATACATCGGTACTGTTAAAAGCGCTATTGTGTTTAGTTCAACCTAGAGAAAAAAACACTTCGATATCTTCATTGATTTCAAAGATATGACGGTGGAAACAAAAAAAAATACATTTTATTTAAAGTGCATTTTTTTCAGTTTTTTCTCAGTTAAAAAGTTCCAGACCACAGAAAAATGTCGTAAAATACGATTTCATATACCTAGTGATATGGTCAACAAAACCTACCATGTCTGACCTGGTTCTACGTCAGAAAAAAAAAACGACACGATAGGGTCTCGAATTTACTACACTACAGAGAATTTCGATCATGCTGAATTAATACCCACGCAGGCCATCAAATGGTTTCGCCAGTTTTGTCAAAGCAAAAATTTTCAATGCATGTATTAAATGGAAAAGTAATTAAGTTGACGCGATCAATCAATAAACAAACCACGCGTTGTGCCTCGAGGTTCAGCCCGGATCACGAATCAATAAACTCGACAAGAAAGTTTGTAGTCGACTATCAAGACTCAACCGGTTACTAATAACGAGTCTTCAATAAGTAATAAGTTGTATAAGCAATCGATAAAGCGTCTACAACATAGCGGGGCGTTCGAGAGCGTATTCAACCGTCAAATCGCCTTACGTCTAATGAGTTTCTCGGAATACCCTTGGCGAACAAAGGAACAACCAGACCTGTCACCGTCGACTCGTTATGCGTTATGGATATAGAATCTGGGCGTATCTGAAAGGCGGGGATTATGAGTGTGCAACAAGTGTGTTTTATTTATGAAGGCCTTACACCCGCCCAGCTGTCATAACCGGGCGCCCTGGCTGGCTATCTGCGACCCGTACATCATCTCACGCGCCTGCTCTCATACCTCCGATATTATCCCCCACCACTTCCATATCTCATTTAATAATATCTCCAACTATACTATACAAGCGTTCGGCTCGCCAGTTGGGCCGCGATGTATTCGAGGGAGCAGACGCTTCAGCTCCTACGTTTGTTTTCTCAGTTGGCGTACAATCGTGTTTTGTTTGCAGGTGAAGCGTGCTCGGATGCGACGGTGCCGCCGCAAGAACTACCCGAAGTATTGATGTGTCAACGTTGTCAAGAGCAGTTCACCGATGTGCAGGAGTACGTGACGCATAAGGACGAGTGCGATAAGAAGGCCATCAAACACGACGATCCTGCGCACTCCGATCCAGAAGACATGGTTGTGTCCGAAGAGGAAGAAGAAGAAGATGACGAGGCCGGCGAAAAAAGCATAGAGCGCATGCGGAGGCATCGTCAAGATGCCGCCAACAACAACAGCGTGGAAGAAAACTCGCCGGACGAAAACGATCCGGAAATCGGATTTCCATTTCCAGTGCCGGCACCTCCTGGACATGTCACGCTAGAAGCACTTCAAAACACGAAAGTTGCTGTAGCACAATTCGCAGCAACTGCCATGGCTAACAATACAGACAACGAAACTGCCTTACAAGACCTCGCAGTTCTACAATCGACCCTGTTCACTTTGCAACATCAACAAGTCCTGCAGCTTCAACTGATAAATCAGCTGCAACATCAGCTTCAGATCGACAGAACGAAGGAGGATGAGACAACCTCCCCTCCCTCGCCTCCCCAATCAGAAAACGAAGCTGAGAACACTCCAGCGGAATCCCCACCTCCGATCCATCAAGAATTGAACAGATCGTTGACCCCTGCCCCAACGCCAGTAGTTGTGCCTCCCCCTATTATTCCACCAATAGCCCAACAAATTCTCACTGAATCCACACCGAAACTAGAAGTGAGTGTCCCTACTTCTTTGCCCCCACAGATAATACCTCCTATGTGTTCTATCTCATCCTCATTAGCATCGACTATCATCACACATACCGATGAGCAAACATCAGAAGCACCCAATACTCTGGAGATGCTGCAGAAGAGGGCGCAAGAAGTATTGGATAACGCTAGTCAAGGATTGCTGGCCACGAACCTGGCTGACGAACTAGCATTCAGGAAAAGCAAAGGCTCCATGTCACCGTACGACTCGAAAGGTCGCAACGAACCATTTTTCAAACATCGTTGTAGATACTGTGGAAAAGTATTCGGTTCCGATTCCGCACTTCAAATACATATCCGTTCCCATACCGGCGAACGACCTTACAAGTGCAATGTTTGCGGAAGTAGATTCACTACTAAAGGAAATTTGAAAGTTCACTTTCAGAGACATAGTCAGAAATTTCCCCATATCAAAATGAATCCCAATCCGATTCCAGAACATTTAGACAAATACCACCCGCCTTTATTAGCACAGCTCGGACAACAGTCCTCCCTTTCTCCCGGAGGTCCTCCCCATCCACCCCATATGGGATTTCCAAGCAGTCACCCCTTCCCTCCTACATCTCTACCGCTTTTCAGGCCTCAAGTTCCACCTCCAGAACTGATCAACAGTAGGCTTCAGCCATCACCTCATCGACTTCTCGATCCTCCCTCCAGACTTTTTCCTCCTCATCCACTGTTTTTGAAACGTGAGGAGCAAGACACGCCTGCCGATCTCAGTAAGCCTCAAAGGTCACCTACTCCTGTCGAAGACAGGCCACTTCGGGAACATGAGATGGAAGACATTCGAGAAAGGGAATCGAATGAAGAGCAGAAAACACCAAGTATGTCACAGATAATGCCAAAACAAGAACCCAGTTTGACTGATAACGAGAATGATCAAGAACCCGAACGGTACCTTTCGCCAGGACCATATGATGAATGCAGCAACAGCAGTAAGTTCAGCAACGATGATATCATGGATCAAAGAAGTCCTGGTGGAGGAGAACCATCTGAGAATATGCAAGATGAACCCGAGAATTTGTCTCACAGAAGTAATAACTCAGTTACTGGACCATTGAGCATATCAACTGGTCAAAGGTTGCCAGCCAATTTTTCATTTGGAAACGCCAGCTCTCCACCGAGTAGTACTTCCTCGGGCAGTTTGGGACAATACCCCATGAATCCTCTTCATGACATCACTAAAGATCCATCTATTTATACAAATCTACTACCGAGGCCAGGCAGTAATGATAATTCCTGGGAAAGTCTCATCGAAGTGACGAAAACCTCAGAAACGAGTAAGCTGCAACAACTAGTGGACAATATCGAACACAAGTTGTCGGATCCCAACCAATGTGTGATTTGCCATCGAGTATTATCGTGTAAAAGTGCTCTGCAGATGCATTACCGAACGCATACGGGTGAAAGACCTTTTAAATGTAAGATCTGCGGTAGGGCGTTCACTACCAAGGGCAACCTGAAAACACACATGGGGGTCCATAGGGCGAAGCCACCGATGCGTGTGCTCCATCAATGCCCCGTGTGTCACAAAAAGTTCACCAACGCTTTGGTACTCCAGCAACATATCCGCTTACACACCGGCGAACCCACTGATCTCACGCCGGAGCAGATCCAAGCTGCAGAAATCAAAGACTTTCCCTCACCTGGGGGGTTCCCGAATCTACACAATTCCATGCATCCATTCCTCGGTCCAGGCTTCCACGTTCCTGGACTATCACCTTTAGGCCATTCCGGCATGCCGATGAACATGAAGTACGACGTCAAATCGGAGCAGGGGAGTATGGACGATGACGACGACGATGATGACGACATGAGTACGTCGGAGCATCACAATATACCGCCGTATACTTCGTCGCCTTCTGATATGCAGAACCTCAGTATGCCGGCGATGGCGACTCAGTTTTCGATGGACGGGTTGAATTGTTCGGCAGAGGATCTCTGCTCGAATAGGACTGCGGCTTCTCCTCCACCTCCTCCACCTCCAATGCAAAACGGGGAGAAATCTCCAGCTCGGTCTGGGGTTACTAGTCCAGGGAGCTCGGAAATCAGGTCACCAAATCAGACCCCCGTCCAGGTATGTACCTAGTTGAATAATGATGCGAGAAGTAGCGAAAAAGGAGAACGTACCGTGGAAAATAATTAATCAAACTGAGGCGAAGAATATAAGTTCTATTTCTTGAATATAAAATAATAGGGATTTATGTGATTTATGTGACAATTCTACGACCTATATGAAACTGTCATCACCTGCGATATAAGGAACAATCAGAATCATGGATGATCAGAATAGTGTGCCTTGATAGTACGCTGCTTCTTCCTTTCGAGCCGGTATAAAACCATACGTCGTCACGGCAACCATGCACGAATCTAAATGGAATATCTTGTCACCTGGTATGACATGGAGATTACAGTTTAATATGGGTCATGGAATTGTCTCAATTGATACACAATACTATCGAAAATTTTGTCTGAGATCTTGAAATCGATCTAATTGTTTCGAGGTAGGTATAACATCGAGGGCCAAGCAATTGGATCTCCTTGATTTCTGACAGACTTACTATCGATGGTATTGCGAGCACCCCTGCAAATATATATTCCAAATATGCTCAATGATTCATTCAAATTTAGAAGAACGGGTTGAAATGATAGTAGACATTGGTTAATTTTACAAATTGTTTATTGGAATTTGGGGTTTCTATTTGTGATATATGTACCTATATAACTCTCAATTATTTGAGATTTCGGAAGGATATATACGCAGAACATGTTTTATATTTCGATTAGTGTATACCATCGTTTGTATATAAAATTTTAGTCATGCAAAAATGCCAATGTATATCTATTGAAAGAATATGGAATTCAGTACAGAACAGTACTTTCTATTATAAGTTAATGATGATAAAAAACAATATATTTCGAGATATGTGCGTGCCTAAGATAATATGATGAACAGCATGGAAATTTCAGTAACCGTTTTTCCGAAACGAAACGTTGTACGGAGATTTTGTGGGCGCCATTTTGTAGAGGTAGAAAAGTTGCAATGAGAAAGTGATTTTTGTTTTTTCGAAACTTCTCGAACAACTTCGAAAACAATGGAACCCAAACTGCTAGATTCGGATTTTTTCGAATATCTCCAGAAGTAGACAAAATTCTTTGGATTCCTGTACATCTATCGACTGATCCCTCAATTGCGCTTTTTTTCATTTGAACTACCTATACTGTGTATATTGTATGGTTACTGTGATCCCCATGCTGTTCATCCTTATCTTGGGCACCCTCTATATACCTATTTTTATGACTATGATGTACGAAATTAATCTATAATTGATACCGATATTCAAGAAGTACAATTTATCTTGTAGGGTTAGCATTTTTTAAATCATTCAATGGTCGAAGTTATATGATGTCCAACTGACTTTCGAATTATAATTCTGGATACGTAAATCATTGTCAAATTTTGAGGCTGTTAATTCACTGAAACAGAGAGCAAATTTCATATATAGGCGAAGAAGACTCATGGTGCTGGACAGGACCACGTATTTGAGTCGGGGTCGCGGAATATTTTTCGAAAACGTTTTTTGACAAAGAAATGTCGAACGCAAATTTCTCCGGAACCATTATTTTCGAAGGAACAAAGTTTCGAATAGTCTTATTTCCGAAAACTAATTTTCGAAAAACAACTCACCGAAGCACATTGTTTTCTAACAACAATTTTTCGAAAACACGTTTAATTATCACAATAATACATTAACTAATAAATTCATCATCATCACATGTTTCGTCAAATGATGAACATAATATTGCGTAGTCTCTGGTCCAAAAATTCATACTTTTTTCGTGAGGGCTCCTCTCCAGGAATGGCTTTCGCAATTTAAAGTTTCGTCAAGCATTGTTCCTTCTTGATTTTGTCAAGAAAATTTCAGAGAGATGATTTTTGTGCGCCAATAAAGGGATAAAAATCCCCTACCACGATTCAGCGGCGTTGTTGGTCAATTGTGATTGCTAAAGAACACTCTCAAAGCAGCTCCAAAGAGAATAATCAAACATGGGTTCAGCCCTAGTTCTTCTGTTCATCTTTTCCTCCCATGTGTTTCCCAAATAATCAATTAATTATTCATTTACTTACGTGGACAGATGTTCTCTCACTATCAAGTCGGAGCCTCTGGAGATTAAAGCAACTGGTACGAAAGAATAATGCTCTTACATGAGTATAGAGTTTTTCTTTTTGCAAACACTTTTTGAGGCGCCGCTATTGACGGGCGTGTATAATGTCGAATTCGAAAATACAACCACTCAAAAAGTTGTTTGTAGAAAAGAGTAACCTTCGAGAGAAAGGATTTTCGGAAAATTGTCTTTCTAAAAAATGTTTTCGTAAAAATAACGTTGTTTTCGAAAAAAAATCCGCGACCCTTTGAGTCGCATTTGTGCAAGTTATTTTCGTAGCTTTCATTGCTTTCTCTACTTCACTATTTCAGCTTTTCTTACCTACATCATATCAATAATTTAACTTGTCCAAACCTATGATGTATCGACGAAAATTAAACCACCAATCATTTACCAAGATCCCAAGGCCGCCTTCGTCCCAGCCGGCAGGAAGCCCCGCCCCCTCCGACTGCTCCATGGGCGCCCTGGACCTGACCCCGCGCAGTCAGCCGCCCACGAGCAGCCCAGGGCCCGCCACTCCCAGCAGCGTGCCGCCACTTTTCCCGTCGTTCGGGCTGCTGCCGACCGCGGGCGGGCAATCGCCGCTGATCTCGTCTGCGCAGTCGCCGCTCATCTCGTCTGCGCTGTCGTCGTTGACGTCGTCGGTGCTGAACTCGACGCCGTTCAGCTCGTTGAGGCTGGCCGTTGGACCCATCGGGACTTTGGGTGAGTCGGACATTGGTCAAGTTAGGTTAGGTCAGAGTTTCTTCTTCCTTGTTTCTTCAACGTCGGCCTTGTTCTGCTACTGAGGCTGATCACCGACGCCGGTGAGCACACTACCCCCAACCGGAAATTTTGCCGAATCCTCTGGTGTTCCAACCAGAGGTAATAGGGATCTTTAACGAGTCCAACATTCATGGCCTCGGGACCGCCGGCTTAACGTCCCCTCCGAAGGACGGCATATCCGTACCATATCTTGTGCTCATTGATATGGTAGCGGTAGCTATGATATGCTATTTTGCTACCGATGTGCGGGCTTACGCGGCGTTTCCTCGAATGGTCACCGATTCAAGTACTAACCACGCTCGACATCGAAAAAGGAGCCCGCACCGCTCCTATGGGATTTTGGGTCCCGGTAAATCAATTATGTTTTGTAATAATCATGAATTTTCGAATATCAAATGAAAAAAACAGAATATTGAGAATTGAAGTTCATTGAATAAATGAAGAAATCGAGTTACTTGAATTTCATGAATCTCAATTGATCTGACTAAATGAACTTACTATTTCAAGATTGATTTATTGATTATTGTTTCAACTTATACCCTTGCTGATTCAGAATTATAGAATAAGGGGCATTCATATCACAAAAACATAAATATATCTAGAGCTAGAAAGTGAGATCTGAATAATGCCTGTTCAAGTAAGATAAAAAAGGAATTGATAAATCAAACTTGAAATATCAACTGATGTTGCATCATACAAAATAGCACATAGCCTCTCTCATATAGTCAAATTATTAATTGAGTTTCATAAAATAGAACTAAAACGCTTACGTTTCTGTGCGATACCGCCCTGGTATACTCGATTTCTTCATTCATCCAATGAACTTCAACTTTCAACATAAATAGTGTGTTTTTCCTATTTGATAAACGAAAATTCATAATTTTTACAAAACATAATCACTTAATTGTCAAGATATTAGGCATCACCCTGTTATCAATATTTCAGTTGATCGAATTACTCTTCAAACAAACTTATTATCAAGGTTGAAGTTCTATCAACAAGTCGTTTTTTGAAGCTCATAGAACACAAATTCACTTAGAAAAATATGTCTCTTCTACACCCTTGAAGGCAAACAATCCAACATCTGAATCGCTGTAGCTCGAAAACTAGTCATAGGATTGAGTTGGGCCCATGAGAGCTTCTGATGAGGATATCAGAAACTACAACATACTATGATTCCACCCGATTTGGCCGGTACCCAAAAACCCATAGAAGCGGTGCGGAGTCCTTTCTGTTAGGTTTAGTTTAGAAATTGAATGGTGACATTTTGACCCGTTAAATCGATTCTTAACCTTTGGCAGTTTCATCCTTTCATCATTCATTCAAATAATTAGATAGCCTAGACAGTTTCGCACATTCTATGAATTGGAAATCGAATCACCCAGCAAAAAACTCTAATTGCATGGGGGACAACAAATTATCACCAAAATGGTGAAATTTTGACCGTGAAATCAATCCTCAACCTTTGGCAGATTCACCTTCGTATCATTCATTCAATTAACTTTCGTTCACAAGAAGTTATCAGAGCACATTCTATGAATAACGTATGACACCAAATCAACAATTTCCCGAACGACGGGAAGTACAGCGCTGCCGCTCTTCCCGTCATTTGGACTGCTACCGACCGCTGGCAGGCAGACGCCGCTTATCTCGTCTGCGCAGACGCCGCTTATCTCGTCTGCGCAGTCGCCGCTTATTTCGTCTGCGCTGTCGTCGTTGACGTCGTCGGTTCTCAGTCCGACACCGTTCAGCTCGCTGGAGCTGAAAGTCGGACCTATCGGGACTTGAGTTCAGAAATCGAATTACCCAGCAATAAACTCTAATAGCATAGGGTACAACGAGTTATCACCTGAATGGTGACATTCTGACCCGTGGAATTGATCCTAAATCTTTGGCAGATTCATCCTTGTATCATTATTCTTTCAAATAATTGGATAACCTGAACTTTTTCGCAGTGTGAGTCGGACATTGTTCAGGGCACTGTGCAGTGATAATAGAAATAATCGATCGTTCGATTATAACTTCCACTTGAGTACTTAACCAGAATCATTTGAATGATTCGGATCACTCGAATGCGATGTGCGAATTGCGCGATGCCGAGCTTGCAACGGAGACCGAGCGAGTGCCTGAGGCTAAACAGTGAACACTCAAAACAGTAAGAACACGTCGGACGATAGAGACGGATTTTCGAATGATTCAGATCACTCGGATGTTTCCGATTCGGATCACTCGAATGATTCGGAGTCATACTTTTTATAGATATTAAGGTCTATAATATGCTTCTGTGACACTACGGGTGTCGATTATCTTCTAAGGAATTCCTTTCAAAGGACATGAGGTAGACGGTTGCCCCTCTCCTTAATCAATCAACTTTTGGTTGAGAGCAATGTTGAAAATAACATTAAGGACGAAGATTCAGAATGTAATGAAAATAGTCACATCTCGATAGTTTAACTGGGCGCAAGCCGATATGCATACGTCTTGTTCATTGTTCAGTCGCCAAGGGCGGTATACAGACCAGAAGTTATACCTTCAACCAACATTTCTCTCAGATTATTCACGAAGGTATATAGCCTTTGGTTGAATCCTTCATTTTGACCCATCAATCAATGTTATTAAATTCACATACGATTTGGGTTGGCGAATTGAGGCATATTCGAAGGTCACTTGACGTCACTGAACGATATGTCGGCAGTTTCATTAACTCCAATCTCCTCATACTATTTTGCACCAATAATCGAGTCAGTTTATTAACTCTCACCAGTTGCCTAATTTTCTAGCTATGCAGGTATCTTTAGACTTCTTCGGACGTATAGATAGCATTTCAGCTTAGCATTCAGGGTGTTTCCAAAGTTCTGGATGTCAGGGAGTCCGATGTGATTGTCAGACTTTAAATGAAGCAGAATTACACTATCAATGGAATATGAGAGGCGAATTTTTGGTACTGGATCTGGAAAAAAACTTTCTAAATGTGTAATAAATTTCAACATACCATTTAATTCGTACCTATTTTGATCCCGATGGCGCTATAGTCTTTGAGAACCAAATTTTCAGGTGCGGTCTCCAAACTAGTTATATCCATGCAAATCGTTGAGATATTCAATTCAATAGGGTGAAAACTCTTGAATACCGTGATGTATACTCATTTTCAGATTCGTTTTGCATCCTCATAAAGTAGGAAGGAGTTCATAAATCACGATCAAACCACGGAGATGTTTTTGAAATGTCAGCCCGATCCCAGAAATAAAACGAAAACATGAATCAGTTCGGTCCGCGTATTGCCCACATCTCTTCAAACAACATATCTCCTGCGCTCTTAATGCATTTTCCCTCGTCATAAAGCAGCTCGAAATCGCTCGTTTATATATTTCGTCGCGGTGTAAACGACCTGTTGGCTGACGACCGTTTATTTTGCTGTCACAGGCCGGGGCAACACCACCTGCAACCTCTGCTTCAAGACCTTCGCCTGCCACTCGGCCTTAGAGATCCACTATAGGAGCCACACCAAGGAGCGACCCTTCAAGTGCACTGTGTGCGACCGTGGATTCTCCACCAAGGTACGTGTCACATCCGATACTTGTGATTGAATTGTCCACGCTATTTTTGAACGTACAATAGAGCTGGCGACATCTCGAATTAACCGTTGGCCGAGCGCCAGCCTCAAGTTATGTCGAATGTCTAAGTGGTCTATTTCGGATTAAGCGTCTTTTTCTCGCGCCGAAGACGGTTTTTTTCACGGTGTCATAATTCTCGTTTGACTTTGATGTCTCGGAAATATGCTGGGCATTCTTCGCGAGAACAAAACGGCGTCGTTTAGAGAAATTTCGACTCGCGCGACGATGTATTAATATTCCTTCTCTTGTTGTACAAATATCCAGACATCTTGAATCTTTGATCACCAACGATAGGCATCCTCACCGAATTCACTAGGTCTTTTGTTTTTATATGAAAATTTTATATTTGGAACGAGACTTTCACATGAAATGTGATTATTGGTGTCATCATGCATCAAGAGCAATTATAGGGAAGAAGGGAATCCAGTCAAAGAGAAAATTGGACGTCATGTTCCTAGCAGACTATTGATTATATCATATCTAGAAGGCTTTGAATTACAAAAAAATACCCTTTATCGAGGTCAGAGTTATATCGCTTCAATAAGCCAATACGGTCAATTCAAAATAATTGGATATTGTTTGTAGGTTAATCGAGGAGGTGGTAAATTCATTTTGCTAGATTATTCGAGATTTTCTCTTCACGTTTCTATAGAATAGAAATATAAGTATTATTCCAATAAAAATATGGCAGAATGAAAGATTCACTGCCTTAGCTGGTTTCCTAGCCCCGGCTACGACTTGTCTATGAAACTCCAGCCGCAGCATTAAATCTTCTGCATTTCTGATGCCTAGTAGAACAGATAACTATTCTATCAGAGAGCCTCGTATGTCAGTGACCCTTAGTTTTGAAAAATGTTCGAGGGAGAGAAAAGTATAGATATATTAAAAAATATCGAATTTTCACTTATCTTTGGACGTTTCGGGAACGATTCTGCTCCCGTTCTCAACATAAAAAATGCGAAATAATATTATTTCAAATCGTCTTATCAGTGTGACACTTCTCAGTGACAGACTTCGTTGTTGGCATGCAAGTGTCACAATGAGAAGACAATTCATTTGAGAGAATAATAGTTTCTTTTGTTGTTTTCTTACCGTGTATCTATATTTCTCTTCTTCAAACATTTTTAAAAACAAAGTGCTGTCACTGGCAAACGATTGTATATTTCTTTCAGGCACTGTGATGAAAAATGTTTCAAACAAGAGGGGTTAACGTTATCCTAGTTCTAGTTGTGTAAAACTGGCTCAGCAAATGCTTTGTATTTTTGACAATCTATGACAACTGTCTACATTTGATAAACAATCATGACCGATAGCCCGTTTCAAATATAGCATGACGTCAATTTCTCCATCTAATATACTTGTACGCTTTTCTTCAATAAAACTGTATATATTGAAATAAAGAAACGAGAAGAGAAAATCCCAAATAATCTAGCAAAATAAAAATGATCGAGTCATGACATGGTCTGTTATTAATAGTAGTTCCTCTCCTTGGTTAGATTCAGGAGATTTTCTATAATTATATTTCATGATTGAATACGCTACATACCTATATCTGAGTTCAACTCGCCAGAACTTATGGTAGGGTAGGTAGGTATATTTCCAACTGTTTCTGTAATGTTCAGAAATTCAACAGAATAGATATAGGTTTATCCAATCAACAAGATACACTATCATCACCACATGGCAAAAAATTGTGAAGAGATCTAAGAGGAAGAAAACATATTATATTTTCCTCAGGTTCACTTGATTTCAGCTTTGTTCCTCATATGTATGTTATCTTCAAGTATGATAGTGGATTCCTTCTGAAATTGTTTGGTATATAAGTACATGTCAATAAAGGGCTCATGATCAGCTGCAGTTTTAGAGACTAAGTGGTCTGAATCTTTGTGGCATAAGTATTGTTCATCTGTAGGTGTAGCTATACAGTGCCTAATCCTAATCACAAATATACGTACTGATAACAATATGAAAGAATCGATAAAATATTGTTGAATGTTATCCCTTCGTGCTGTTTTCTCTGTTTGATATGTGTGTGTCTTGCAGGGTGGTTGTAACTGTACGCAGAGGCGTATCCAGGACGAAGTGGAACCTAGGCGGTCACGAAAGCCAAAACCTGCCCTTCGCACATCTATCCCATCTGTAATTCCGTTACCTATGACGCCTGGATACGCCTCAAACTGGATGCAAATGGCGGTAAGATCCGCCTCTCCTTCACAATCACGAAAACCAAATCATATTTTTTTCCAGGGAAACATGAAACAGCACATGTTGACGCACAAGATACGCGACATGCCGCAGCACATGTTCGACAATAGACCTCCGTCGTTGAGTGGGGACGATTCCGCTTCGTTGCCTCCTGGAACTCCCCACAGAGAAGCGCCATCTAGCGACGGGGAGCAGCAGCAGCAGCATCAACACCAGCATCAGCAACCAAGCCAATCTCCCCAAGCTCCTCAAGTCCCCCTGCCACCTTCTCCGCAAGTCAAAAATGAAATGGAGCAACCGCCAATCAAAAGAGAGCCTACTGAGACTGAACTACCTTTGCCGAAACGCCCTCCAAGTAAGTTACTATCCAGTTTTGGTCCAATTGGTGAATCGCTGGATACAATTCTGCATTGACCTAAGTTACACCTGCATATGCATTATTATCGATGAATATGACCAATTTAGGTGGGCGATTAGTATGTTTCAAGAATTGATTATATCTCACATGCCTAATTATAATCAGATTTCTAGATAATTGTACTTGATCCTTTAAGCTCTGATTCAATTCATATGTAGGTGTTTGAAATTGAGTTCTACCTCATGACATACTTCGCACTCCAGGGTATATTGTATAGGTTGAGTTCTTGACATCTGGTTATATGAAGGTTACTGTCATCAAATTATACTTGTTTATCTTCCGCATTCTTCACATTCCCAAATCCACATGGAATATTTTATTGGTTAGTCGTTGAGGGCGATACAGTTAAAAAACAATTATCTCTTCGATATACAAAAAAAACTCGCACAGATCGGTGAATTTTCAAAATGGAAATCCGATTTGAATAGGCAGTTTATTCACACAAATGTCACAAACATTTGCAGAAACTGAATGCAATTATTTATACTTGAAATCGATCGTTACATTATGCATTCAAACTATGTATGTCAGTCGCTCTGCCAAATATAATTCGTCATACTATAAACCAGCCTAGAAGTCACTGCAGTAAATAGAATTGTGCATTGCCGGATTGTATTTCAGTGTATTTTTATTTAGAGTTCACTTTTATATTAGATTCACTCGACTAATTTGGTGAATGGTCCTATCTCATCGAAGCAACATTATTGATTTTGTAACTATACAGGGTGTCCGCTTATTGATGGTTCACAGCAAAACAACAGATTCCGTGAATGGGAATATTGAGATTTAGCCAAACTTACCTCAGTCCAAAAGTTGATAATAACAAAGATACAGGGTGTCGAAGTTTCAATTTGCATTTCGTTCTTTCTCAATAATTTATCCACAGGGTGACAGAACGACACGAAATTTTGGCATCAGGCGGTTTCCATAGTTTGGATGTCACTAACGGCACATCAAATGTCTTTCAAATGAATCAACTTCTTTGTGTCACGGCGTACCTATCATAGTTTGAAGTTCATGCATTTAATATATCTTTTCAAAGTAACGTTTTTTTATCGCATCTGATTTGATCACAGCCTACTTGAAAAAAAAATATTCAACTGGAAATTTGCGGAGTTTTATTGAATGATTGATACGTGTTTTCTGGGTAAAAAATATGTTGATTATTTTTGACTACATAATCTTCGACTTTTCGACAAGTTCATCTCGTGACACAAAAAAGTTTCAAATAGATTGACTGTACCTACCGTAAGTGGCGCCCACTACAGGTGACATCCAAACTAAGAATGGATTTGAATTTCTCGCCTTAAAATACCCTCTAATGGCAAATATCATGCCGCTTTGTCACCCTGTTTATATGAATTATTGAGAGATAACCAAATGCAAATTGAAATTTTGACCCTCTCTATCTTTATTGTTATCAATTTTTGAACTGAGGTAAGTATAAGTAAATCTCGATATTGTTATTCGAGGAATATGCAGTTTTACTGTGTACTGTCGTGTAGCGGTTACCCTGTATAGCATCGAAGTCTGTACCTACCTAATCTATGATAGTATGGACGTCCACACCTTCAATATTATGTTATTCATTATTATACAATTCAATCATTTTATTCGTATACTGAAATATTGAAAAAATGTACCCTTGACTCAATTGTTTATGTTTGTTCTAGAATCTAGAACATCTAAATCATGTTATACTCACTAAACTCTTCTACCTCTAATAAGACTGAAAATGTAGTTAGGTATATTTTATTCATGGACTGTTCATCAAAAATCAAAATTCATTAAAAAATAATAACAAGCATTCAATAACACATGAAGAAAGCATTACCCAGCAAAAAGTCTACGAATCTCTGAATGAAACTGAGCTCTATTTAATTCCACCAGGACTTCTTGTACATAAGAGAACTTGAAAACGAGGCGATACAACTTAACCCCATTGTCATCGCTTGCACTAACCGAGCTATAGGTTGTGGGCTAATGTGTGGTGCGTGTGTGTGTTTGCAGGCTTACAATCAAGTAAGCACTTGTGCCACGTATGCAATAAGAACTTCTCATCTAGTTCGGCCCTCCAGATACACATGAGGACCCATACAGGCGACAAACCATTCAGATGTACCGTCTGTCAGAAGGCGTTCACCACCAAGGGCAACCTGAAGGTAAGTGGAACCAACCATGGCAATTGAATTCAATGTTTCTTATCAGCAGATTATTACGAATTCGAAACTCACATTAGAATGATAATTAGAATTGAGCTTGACTTGTAATGTATAACTAGAGGAGAGTTTCCGATTGCTGACCGGTCGCGAGCACTTGGACCACACTTCGACCACAGGGTTTTTGACTGATGACCGCATTGACAGAACTTACTTTAGTTTCGTTTTTTATTAAAGACCAAGGCCGACCGATCCAAGACCACTTCGCCCGGGCTTTTTGATGGTCGAATCAACGGTCGATGCGGTTCAAGGATATGAAGTATGATTTCAAAACAATCAAATTACTCAAAAAAGTGTCAAGGGCATTTACGTTCTTCTAAATTAAGTGACTCGAACAGCTTATATTCAAACAAAAATAGCATTACATCACTGGATGATTCACTTGGTATACAGTTCACAATTATTATTTCATGCAAAGAAATATGTATCGACTATTTATATTTAATGACCCATAAAATAGATGATTCCTGATATATTTTGTTTTTAAGGTACCAGGAGTAGAGTTCACGGTTTTTAAGGTTTTGTATTTGTCATTGTGATCGGTCACGTGACACTAAGGGCCGGTCGGTCAGCCGGGTCGGCAATGAAAAACTCTCTATAGTTGTCTTCAGGCTGGTAATGCTTGTGCATCAATTCGTACCTATATAAGTAGTAGTATTACAACCCCTTATTCGAATGAAAAGTTTTAGCTTTTTCACGAAATTCACCTGACTCTGCTATCTAGACTTGGAGTGGGGTTCATAAAGTAAAAATACGTCTTAGTCATTCCACTTCCCATAGATGAATACAATGTTCCTTATGATCATAGTTTCATCCTTTTACTGCTTCACCTGATATTGCGCATGCTTTCCATTCACTTTAATATCTCTAATTGTGCTCCAGATTGACAAAGATTATGGAAAACAATCATTTCCATTCATCGATCATTAACATCTCGAGCATAAATTCGATTCATAAACAAGTTTGCAAGATATTCTGAAACATTCTTCCAGATCCGAAAATCTCCAGATCAGAATTATCTACCTGAACAAGATAATGATGTAATGAGCAAGAATTATACATGATAAAATTTCCTTGGATAGAGATATAAATTCTAGTGGCATTGCAATTTGGATAGATCTGATTGTTTGAGTCCATTTCAGTCTATGGCTCATTCTGTTGTAGCCTCCTCAATAATAGCAACTAGATCTCAATGGTAAAATGTCGCTTACAAACAGGTATTCCAACCCACAAACGTAACCAACAATGTTTCATTGACTTTATGTCTATTCATCAACTAACCGTTTCGATATTGAAGGCGTAGCTCAATTGATAATTTAGTTTCATTTTGGTAAGAGGAGGTCGGAACATGATATATTCAGTAGAATAGTCCCTATATACTGCAATGTTTGCACCTATTATTCTTCAGTTTATCAAACTATCAAACCGTCAATAAGAGTACACTATTTTGTTAACAAGTAACAGTGCCTCTGATTGAATGTCAAAAAGCCGTATCTACTACAGATAGTTGCATTAGGTAGGTACATCCTGTTTAGCATCGTGTATACTGGAGAAGGTTGCATGGCTTATTGCGCTCCTATCAGAAGATATCCTCAATCACGAATATTCTGTGATCAGTAGAATCTGTAGGTACTGAGTCAAAAGTTGGAATTGATTAATATAGAAGTATTTTATTGTAGTTAAGTTTAGTTACAACTCAACGTAACATATCTGTTAAGTATCAACTTGTGGTGTTAAAATCTTGCTTCGATGTATTGTTCCATTAATATTTCGAATGTTTTTATTTGGCCTTACATCGCTTAACTGCTTTACTAACGCAATATCAATAGTGCATGAAGTATTGATAATATATATAGTACACAGGTTTTGAATAAAATTACGGCATATGATAGGTTTCAGAAGCAAGTCGACCAGCACCAAGTATTACATATAAACGCGATAGATATTTTAGTAAATAAGCAGCTGGACCATTCAATTGACTGGTCCACATTTGGTAGCTATCAGGCTCGAGCAGAATGGGAATTTCAGTGTGTATATCTGTCATATTTTGTTCTGGTCGACTAGCTACAGTATCAATCGTCAAAACGCATTGAAAATAGGCCATTACATCTGTATGTGATATACACTGATTTATCAAGAAATACCATTGATATACTTCCTTATCTCATGTTCAACATTTCGAACCACTATGCCCTGAGGAATGTAGTATTCTTCAAATGCTATGACTTTCCGAGGTAGTGTGACTAGTTTCAAATTCCGGATTTGAATGGGTTTTGAAGAGTTTTACAATACTTGCATACCTAATATTTATAGTCTTTGAAATATGATTTTTTCCCTTTCAGGTACACATGGGAACACACATGTGGAGCAATGGGGCATCCAGAAGAGGTCGCCGCATGTCCCTCGACCTTCCCCCCATTCCCATGACCCCCAAGGATTCCGAATTTCTTCAACGGAGACCAGATCTCTTCTACCCGTACCTCCCGGCTCCGTTCCTTAACGGAATGCAACAAAAGGTACGTCTTGAATTATTCATGGAAACTACAGTTTTTATGTTCTGGTTCCCACGAAAAGGGATATCCTGTAATGTTCAGAGAACATCGTGAGAACCAAGGGAAATAAGGTAGGAATTGGTGTTCTTCTCAAATTTCTGAAGGTTATATGCCTCGGGAAACACCACCCTTGACAATGTGTTCCAGGGCCTCGCTGTTCGTTGGTTGAACGAGTCTTTGGAAAGAGATGTTCTGCGATAATTTTTTTGCAATTTAAATGATTTACAATCGGGATTCGCAGTGTTCGAATGATGCGTCCATTCTTTTAAAGATTCATTGATCGAAACTTTTCGAAGTCTTCCAGTTATGACGTACCAAGTGGTTATGAACAATGTTACATAATCGAAAAAGTTTAGGAGCTGCCGTATTCCCCAGGAATTTTTCCATCATTCTGCAAATCAACTTTCTCAAATCCTCAAGTCAATATCTGGAAATGGTTTGGGAATTTCTGACCTTCCTTATACCCCTATTAACACAACTTGATCCAATGGACGTCCTATGGAGATCCTCCAGTTTGTGTTTACTGGATGACGTATGGACATCGATAGGATATCGCGTTTCCAACTTTTTAGCTATCCATATGTTATGATATCCGTCAATAAGGACATCCATATGGTATCTGTCTTGGACATCCATATGGGAATAAGATCTGGTCAATAAATAGAATCTATGTTTATGGGTGTTATATGTATTCAAATGTGATTATATTCATATCAAGAATACTAGATACTATAATACTCTATATCGGATTGGTGTGATATATGTTGTTTCTATTGACACCTCTCATCATCATTTCAGTTTAATAATAATAATAATAACATTTATTGATCCCAAGAAACATACAATATTTTTAAAGAGGGAACAAAAAAAAAAAGAATCAAATATACAATACAATGAAAGATAAACAGTTCAATCAGAATTAATCGATACAAGGAGAGAGTTAAATTGATAAAATATATTTCTTCTGTTTGGTTGACTTGGCACAATAGGCACTCAATTTCAGATCCGTTCTACTAGTTGAAATTCTTTGACATCTTCATCAACACATCCTGGGATAGCTCTTCACTTCAAGTGATCTATTTATTCTTTGACCGAAATGGCATAACGATAAAACACAAGCAAGTGTCGACGCCATTCACACAAACATATCAAGGAACAGATTATTATAATAATGTCACTCAATACAAATTGGAAAATGCAAAAACCATTAGAAACGCTAAACATACATATATCTGAAAATGATGAGATTATCAGTCTCAGTAGCCTCATACATTTATCAATGCATCAACGTTAACAACAATGACAATGGCGGACGGCATCACTACTCTGAGACGGCTGACCGAAGGAGCTGAACGACGTCGATGATATCCGATACTATTATGTTAAGTAACATCATCAGAGGAAACATATTGGAATGCACACCATATGGAGAAATTTACCTGGACATCCAATAGATATCTTTATGTGGACACCACATTGTTGTCCAGATTGTGTTCATGGACACCTAGGACATAATATAATGGACACCATATGGATTACTTCACCTGGACATTCATTGGATATCTGCATGTGGACATCCTATTGTTGTCTAGAATGTGTCCATGGATACCTTGGACATATAATAGACACAATACAGATATCCAATGGACATCTTGTGTTATTAGGAACAGGATGTTAAAAATCTTTCTTCAATATTCTTTATTTCTATGGATTTAAAATATTAAAACGGGTGCTCCTGAACTTTTTCGCTTATGTAACACTTTTTTTGACCTCTTGGTATGTCATAACTGGAGAACTTCGAGAAGTTTCGTACAATTAATTCTAAACAGAAAGGACGCATCTTTTCAACACTGCATTCCGATTGAAAATTTCCAAAAAAGTTATCGCATTTTAAAAAACGTCGAACATATTATTAAATAATCGTTTCCAGCACACACCCCACTAACGCCCTCTCTCCCATTCCAGCTGAACGAAATCTCCATGGTCCAATCGACCCAGAACGGCCTCTCCACCCCCAACAAGTACAGTGGCCTGCTCGGGTTCGGCTACCCGCCGCCCGAGGCGCTGCGATCGCGCCCGACCTCGCCCGATCCGCCAGGCCGCGACGCCGATCCCAGGGCGCTGTGGGACCTGCACTTCGAGCGCAAGGGCGCTGGGGAGGCGCCCAGGGAAGACTTGATGGCGCCGGCGGCCACGCGTGAAGGGCTGGCCGCCTAAGGCGGTATGGAGCAGGGCTGTTTCGGTCAGTACTTTAGTACTATTCGAAGATGTTCAGTACCAGAGTACTTTTTGATGGAATTCAGTACTAATTGAGTTTTGAGATCATTGGGTTCACATTGTATGCCAAGTCCGAGATAAGTTAAGGCTGCCACACAATTGGTTCAAGATTTGATATACAGGGTGTCCCAATACACCTGCCAAACTTAACCAGCGGCTTCTACGATCAAAAATAGGCAGAAAAGTTTCAATGAACATGAGGCGAGAAATGTCTCCTAAGGGAGCTATGGCCCCATGAAAGGGGGCTCCTGAAGATGATATTTCTTCAGTATTTCCGAAACTCCATGTGATGAAAATATCCAATTTGCAACAAGAACTAAACTCTCCATGCGCAATGCAGTGAAAATGAAACCATTCCGGAATTTCACCCAGGATTGTATAATACAAGGTGGGACTACATTAAATATTACTAAAAAATTTTTGTAGGCATATTTTTCGACAATTCAATCTCGGATTATGAAAATTCACACCTCTTCACAGAAAAAAGGTACACTTGTTCCATAAGGATCAGATGTATCATTATCAAATAAAAGCGATTTGAAAATATTGTTACATCTCAGTTATTATGCATAACATTGCAATGAGTCGTAGTGGAAATGCAGAAAAAAAAACATTAAAAATATTGATTACTTTTTTATCATAATGTTCCTATTTGTCGCGCTTTGATGCGATTGTTTGGTGAAAAGAAAGTAGTTGATTGTCTTATAGCCACTATGATTTGAAAATTGGCAACGTTATGCATATGCTGTGAGTGTATCAATCATTTGAAATCGTTTTCACTGGAAAATGATACATCTGATCGTAAAGAACAAGGACCCTTTTTTTATGTGAAACGGTATAAATTTTCATAATCCGAGATTGAATTGTCGAAAAATATGCATACATGAAAGTTTGAGCAATATTTCAGGTAGTCCCACCCTGCATTATGCACTACTGAATGACACTTTGGAATTATTTTATGTTCACTGCACCTCCTCCTTTCAGGGGGCCGTATATCTCCTACGGGAGACATTTTTCGGCTCATGCTCATTGAAACTGTCCTCCCTATTTGTCAAATGCTGGTGAAGTTTGGCAGAAATATATAGTTCCGTGTGAAAAAGAGTTGCTGTGATTGGTTGGGTTTCTGAATTTAATTAAAAAAAAAACATCACGTCCGTATCTTGAAGCATGAAACTTGTTGCCTAATTCATAAATTTGTGTTCGCCATAAGGACCTGTGTGTTCAATGTATAATACTTATATCTCAAATTATAAAACATAACACAATAACATGAAACTTCAATTGTGTCGCAGCCTTTACCCACAGAACGCCAAGTGGATGAAAATGAATTGTTCCAGTTTATCAATTGAATTTTAAGTTTTAATCCGATATTTTTATATGGTTGAATCAATCCACTCATATCTGTTTTTTGACGGCTTGAATTTGTGAATAAAAACTTTTCAATTACCACATATTTCAAGAAAATTGAAATTTAGTACTGAATTCTCAATTCTAGTACTTTTTCGAAGTGTGATCAAGTAGGTACTGAGTATATATTTTCGGTCAGGAACAGCTCTGGTGGGGAAATGAGTTGTGGAGGCGATGTTCCTATTTACTAGTCTGGATGAAGGGCGAGGTGTTCCGCGTAGATCGGAATTGTGAAATGTGTGTACAGGGTGATTCGTTTAGCTGAGACGGCCATGTCGAACCACAAGGTGAAATAATTATATCACTTTGTACTACTATACGCATTTGAAATGAAACAACTTTGACCACGTTTTTTTCTAAACCGAATAGTCTTCTAGATATATATGGCTGTCTCCAATTCATTGTACCACTCTGTATAATCACCACTTAGGTATTCGTTGGCGACACTTGGCATATCAGAATTTTTCATATTGATACGGCACTGCCCAAATACATTTAAAGCGTTACCAATTAATATGTAACAGGTGTTTATATCTAGAGTACCTTTGTTCAGTCTACCTATATAATTATTTGCTACATTCTGATTTGCAATTATCTACCCTATACAACAACAACAATATTAGAACAAAACAACAATATATTTATTCAATCCATCACCACTTTTTCATCAAATACGTTTCTATGAAATTTGGACCAGTTATGTGTATTACATTCATATGTAGCAGATCACTATTTTTGAAATTAATTTGGATCTCGATATCCTGAATGAATTTTGGTAGGTGTAAAATCTCACTAATCGCAATCTCCTTGTAGTATAGATTGAATCAGTAGAAGCTTTTGTATACTATAATGACGTGGTCGGATATGATGAGGATGAACACATTGTTGGTATTTTCCTTGACTGTCATCTTATCTCTCCTTTCAACTTTCTGATTGGAGCACCTTGTATATTATTGAACGGATCGGGGCAATGATGCATACTGTGATACAACAGCTGTAACAAGCTGCGATAGCAGCTCAAAATGCTGCTGTGTAATTAAATTTATTTAAAGAAAACATTATAATTACTAGAAACTTATTGTATCATACTTAGCTGAGTGTATGATAAATACCCTTACAGATTGTCTGATATTTATGGTCTCATTAAACTGATATTCACACTTATATTTATAAGGAAGACACCTTCTTTTATTATTTTATAAGATACTCATTTCGAGCAGTATAAATTGGGAAATCAGCTAGAGATCATGAAAATCATACACTCTGTAGTTTTGTTTTGCTGTGTTATATTCATGTGTCCAGTGGACGCCGTGGCGATGCCAGTATTTAGCTTTACACCTTGTATATAAACATGAGAATTTAGTTGATGAAGAGATCACTGTATTGTTATTTATAATAAATGATAGATGTCGTCATTTTGTTCAGCATGGTGATATAATTTGTAAATACTTATTCACTGTGTATTATAAGACTGTTTTTATTATTTCCCTGTATGTCGATGTGTATGCTTGTTCTCTCTTTCTCGCTCCCAGTACAAACTGTCCTCATGTATGTATAAACTCAGTGAATATATACTAGTTTAACCCCTCGAAGGGCATTCACATACGTATCTAAATTTCAAAAACAAATCGTTATTTTAAAAGTAAATGATATTGTGTAAATGTAAGTATTCTGGATTTTTTTATTATTGGATTAATGTACAAATATTCTTAACTGGTAACGTTATCAAACTCTCTGTATCTATGAATCCGTACAGCCAGTTGAATTCTGTTTAATTATGAAATATAAATATTTATCACATATGACTCGATGGGTTTATTTTCAATTGTAAGTAATCCTTCATTTGAATAAAAAAATATTATCAAATACCTTTACACCTTTTCCTTCTTCTCATTGTTCTGAGAATACGATGCGAGAACCCTACCTATTAAAATTTGAGCATATCATATAGGTACTCCAGTTGTCTACGAAAAAATCCTGGATGTGAAGGAGTCTTTATCATTTCTTTCTGCGGACTATTCAGATTCAGAATGACTCCAATTATTTCTTATTCACTCTGAAGGTGAAGAATTATGAATCATCATATCTAGGACTCGAGTATAGGTACCTTATTTAGTTCTTGTATATCGTTCTATATATTATTCAAAGTTGGAAACGAGTGGTGAACCGCTGACCCAAATAATGTCGGTACCTATACTCTACTTCCTTTGAATCGTAAACTTCCTCATACTTCCTGTACTTCCTTGATACTTTCCGTACTTTCTCGAAACTTCCCGTACTGCCTCGAAACTTCCCGTACTTCCTCGACACTTTCCGTACTTTCTTGGTACTTCCCGTAATTCCTTGATGATTCCCGTACTTTCCGAACGGACCTACATGAGCTTCATAGTAAAATTATATACCCACATATCTATTGCACAATATCAGTCCATCACAGAAACTGCGATGGGAAAAAATGTTGATCGGAATTCAGGAGGTGTCATATAATTTGTTCATTGAGGATAATCGAATATTTTATTTGTACTTATATCCTCATAGTGGTGAAGAGTAATAGTAATATAGTAACAAGTGTTATAAACGTCATTCTAGTAACGAGTATTCAATAAACGAGTGTTTAGAATAGTTTATCATAAACGCATTACATATACTATTCTTTTTCTACGAATGCATAATCCCTCTCTCCGACAAGAAGTTATATTGGTTGTAGATGTGCGCCAAGAAATAGTCAACAATATCATAGGAGTAGATGGAGGTCACAGGAATGCTTAAACAAATTTTCTAATATATAGGGCATTCCTTTTAAAAAAAGTGATCCTGACGACCCTCTGAATTTTTTACGTAGCCCCCTGTATATGCGGTTATAATTCCTACTTACGGAAATTGTTTCATTGACATTCCTTTTTGAATCAAGTTTCTAGTCCCACCCTGTTATAATATGCAAGTATACCTACCTGAACCATTGTCTTCGATTCCACTTTCGTCTACATTTCGTATCCATTTTTAATGAAGAATTTTGATACAAACAGAAATTGTTTGAATAATAATTTTTATTGCAACAAAATTCCAAAAATGACAGTTGACAGTTCCTACAGGCCGGACAGGACTCGAACGACTGAAGGTGTGTTTAAAAAACTCTGCTGCCATGGTAATGTGTTTAAGAAATTGTGTTGCCATGGTAATGTGTTTCATTTATTGAATAAATCACAAATTGTCAATCCGTGATTATTTGATCATTTAGCATGATACAATAATATCCGTACGCCAAATGCCACTTTGTTTATGTGAGTATTTATATTTGGTTAGTGAATAAAATTGAAATAAAATTACTGTTCAGATAGGTAGGGTAACTTGGGGCGAATTCGAACACGTCTGCTGAATTCGAACAACCGGTCGTCCTTGAGAATTTCTTGAATGGGATCTCGCGACTCTAACGTATATTTTCAAATGGTAGATCGAAAGTAGGCAGTTGGCCGAGCGTATTAGTGGTGGTAGGACGCTAGTTGAGCAGTAAGTAGTTACGTGGTGAATTTTACAATTTTATATAAAATTGGTTAGTTTTTGGTTAGGTTGAAAACAAACACCTGTAACTTTGGCTCTATCGCATATATCAATTTAAAACTTTGTAGAAGTATAATCTGACATGTCCTTAACATGATATACTAGCCAGTTTTTGATTTTTTTGAATTGCGTAATTTATAAAAATAAAAATACGAAAAATTTACTTGCAGAGGGGCGAATTCGAACATGGTTCGAACATATAAGAAGGTGCTGGGAGCCATCAAGCATTATGGCAATTACTCAGATTCTGCGCTAAAAAAAGCTATAGAAGCTGTGCGAAGCAAACGGATGACTTACAGGAGTGCTTCTGAGGCTTTTCAAGTGCCAATAGCAACGCTTTGCAACAAAATAAAAAATAAACATCCCATGCGTCCTGGAGGTCTTACAACTTTTTTTTCCCCTTTTTAAAGCTATTTAGAGGGCTAAAAAATACTTAATTTGTTCGAATTTACCCTTATTGAAGGCTAAAATAACAATTTCGTGTCATTTAAAGCTTTGTTCGGATTCGCCCCACCCATAGGGGCGAATTCGAACAACATTTACTAATTAAAAAAAAATACTAATTATTTTTCAAATTAATTTTTTTTCTGGGAATGTCTAAAGGAAGGTTTAATAATGATATATTTTAATTTTCATAATTTTTTTTTGTCAAACCCCGTCAGAATTTGAAAAAAACCTCGAAATTGCGTTCGAATTCGCCCCAAGTTACGGTTATATATGCGTTAAAATGATTTTATATAGACTCAGGTACAAGTTACTTCGAGTAAAATACCTATATAAAATGGTGAATATACACTATCGCAGTATAGAAGTTTCAAATTCGAGGATACCTATTCACCAGGTGAGCTCGCCTTACTCAATTGGTTGAAAAAATATTGAAAGCAAGCCATAACAGATAATGATATGCTCAATGGAAAGAGTCCAGCTTTCAGCCAAGCCCATATTGTTTGTCTGAAAAATAAAAAAGAAAATATTATTCATGTGTATTTCGAGTTATTCGAAATGGATCATAATTATTATAATGCCAATGGTTCCCTTTTCATTTTAAAGTCTTATAAATAAAATATCATTGTATCAAGATTCGAGAATTGATATAAAAGTAAATTGTAATAACCAAAATAATATAAAATATTCAATTGTTATAAAATCTATTATACCCCCCTCCCCATGACGTTAACCTCAAATAGTGCTTTCTCGAATCCTTACATACAGATCCCTAACAAATGTAGGAAAAACAGAATTCAAGTAACTCACTCATAGTTTTTCGATGCTTCATAAAATGGTACAGTGTCGATTGATCCAACCTTTGATATCCAGACATGGTTTAGTATTTTCTCGTTTATATCAGTCTTCAAGTGCTCTATTTTGTGAACAACTCCTGCGCCATTGAGAACCTGCGAATGAGTATAGGTAAAATTTTGTGAAATTTGTACGCTACTTCAAAGTTGGGAACCAACTCCCCAGAATTCGAAGCTTGTGCGGGGTTAGGAAGAGCGGGACCTACAGCTTATAGTGGAATGAACCACTTCTAGGGCATCAAAAGGTATGCACAGTGATTACAAAGTAAGTAAATGTACATACAGTTGTATAGACAAAAAGCGTACAAGTAGGTATATTAGAGAGAGAGAAACTATTATCGTCATCATGTTTGCGTAAAACGGGCAATCGGGAATGATTGTTTACCGAATGTTGACAGTAAAGTTATAGGTTCTCAAAAACACAAAGCATTGGCTGAGCCAGTTTTACACAACTCGAACTAGAATGACGTCTCTTTTTAATACTTCTATACGCTTTATTATTGAAAAACACTACATGTACCTTACAGGGTGTTTGCAAAATTGGACCGATTATCAAAATGATCGGAAAAACAAAATGAAGTTAACGTAACGTTTCAGGTGAGTTTGGAAGATATCTAATTTTTGTCAATTATTCATCAGAGGTAAAGTTACAGCCGAACCCAAGCGATAGCTTTTGGTATAACGTCAGATGCACCGCGGATCTATCGATGAATATTGCAATATTGCTAAACGTTTGATGAAAGTTAGGAGATGTAGAACATGAATTTTCAGATACGAATACGAATAAATTGTTTCTTGCTATTTATTATCGCTTCAATTTCGGGTACACCCAGTATATTCAGTATATTGAACATATCAATATGATATATTTTATCGTAACTTACTCTCGGAATATTGGATTTTTTGGATTATTGGATATTCCCTAATCTTTCAAATTAGAGCAAGAAATTTCATTCTGAAAATTGAACAAGAAAGAAAAAAAAATAGTAGGTACAAATTGAAATCCGCGTTCCCTTCGTGATCATTGTTACAGTGTAGGAGAAAGTTTCAATTCGATTTGATACATATGGTGGTCCAACAAAAACTTTACATCCCCGTAACTTCAACCTCCGGAGTTTGAATGGGGATGAGGGGTGTTGCGATACCTCATTTTGAAGATTTCATCGAGTACCCACTATATCCTACAATCCTACATTGATGAATAGATACGAGTAATATTTTAGAGGTAAATTCGACATTGCCTCTTCCACTATTTCATCTTTCATTTCGTAATCGATGAAAATTTCGATGCGAAATTAGGTTCAAAATCCGGGGGTTGAGCTTCCTCTTGGTGGGGTTCTTTTCTTTTTTGTCGAGGTCGAGGCCTTCATGAACATCATATGGGTCTAATCCATGAATCCTCCATTATTACAATATCCAAATTTTACACCAAACAACCTATTCATTCTCAGAGTAGATGCAAGTGGTTATGCTTTAGGGGCAGTTTTATCAAACTCAGATGATAGACCTATTGCATACGCATCTAGAACTTTGAATAAGGCTGAAAAACATTATTGTACTATTGAAAAAGAGTTATTGGCAATAGTTGGGTCAGTTAAACATTTTAGACCTTATTTGTTTGGTCGTAAGTTCGTTATTCTATCCGACCATCGTCCATATACAGTGTGTCCCACTTACCATGCTCACCATGGGTATCTTTTTAACGTTAAGAGATACGAGGTCGGTTAAATGACACAAAAAATGTGGAGTTTGTCAAGGCCAACTCTAATATGAAAAAATATTTTTATAAAATCTATCCGTTTCTGTTTTATACGCAAAAACAGATTTTGATCATTTTCATATGATGTCTCCTCCGTAACTTCTCTATTTATGAAAATATTCGAATAGGAATTCCACATTCTCATGGCAGTTTTTCAAAGTGATTTCGAGAAAAATATGAAATTTATACCAACTCTTCTATAATTTGAGATATCAGCACCAACTTTAGTTTTTCAAATGTAGATCATAGCTCACTATGATTTAGTTACAGATAACTTTTTTTTCTCTTACAGATGATATGTCGCAGTGATAGTTTTGTGTTGATAACAACGGAGTTATCGTCATTTATACAAAAACAAAAAATTATTTGGGAGCCGCCATCTTGTATTTATAAATTTCAACAAAAAAATCATGATCTCCGACATCAAAAACCCCCACATTTTGAATGGAATCGGACGAAAGCTCGTCCGCCATCTTGGAGCAGCCATTTTTTTCAATTGATGGCGGACAAGATTTGGTCCGATTCCATTCAAAATTTGTAAGTGGAGGTTTTTGAGGTCGGATAAATTCAAGATGGCGGCTCCCAAATAATTTTTTGTTCTTGTATAAATGACGATAACTCCGTTGTTATCAACACAAAACTATTACTGCGACATATCTTCTGTAAGAGAAAAAAGAGTTATTTGTAACTGAGTCATAGTGAGCTATGATCTACATTTGAAAAACTTAAGTTGGTGCTGATATCTCAAATTCTAGAGAAGTTGGTATAAATTTCATATTTTTTTCGAAATCACTTTGAAAAACTGCCATGAGAATGTAAAAAAAATTGTAAAATTTGTATATCGCTACTTCAAAGTTGGGAACCAACTCCCCAGAAGTCGAAACTTGTGTGGGGTTAGGAAGAGCGGGACCTACAGCTCATAGTAGAATCCGAACCACTTCTAGGGCATCGAGGTGCTGCCAGGATTACAACCATGAATCACACATTTTAAAGAAAAATGCTCAGCCGACAGCCGGATTCGAACCGACAGTACCTTTGCATCGTGAACGGCTATCTAGCGAATTTCAGCTCATAGACAAACTCGGCCACGGAGCCCTATCCCTATTTGAATATGTTCATGAATAAAGAAGTTACGGAGGAGACATGAAAATGATCAAAATCTGTTTTTTGCGTATAAAACAAAAACGAATAGATATTATCAAAATATTTTTCCACATTATAGTTGTCCTTGACAAACTCCACATTTGGTGTCATTTAACCGACCTCGTATCTCTCACCGTTAAAAAGATACTCATGGTGACCATCATGGTAAGTGGGACACACTGTATATCTGTTCAACATGGTTAATCCATCTAGTCGACTCACGAAGTTCAGATTGATCTAGAGGAGTTCGATTTCATTGTAAAATATGTGAGTATTATTGACTCGAGTGAATTGAAAGATATGAGTGGTAGAGTGAGTGGAAGTATGAACATTATCACACGAGCTCAAGCAAAGACTGAATCGCAAGAAGATCATGCAACAAATGATATCCCCATGAATGATAGGCTTGATCACCCTGTTGTAGTGGAAATATTGAAACCTGAAAATGCTCAAACTGTTGAGCTACGCCCGATATCGAAAACCAAATTTGATGAAATAAAATCTAAGTACTTAAAAAATAAAACATTGAATTTAGTTACAGCATATAAAAATTGTATTTTTCTACATTCATGCGAAAAGCAGAACTTTATTGAACTATATATAGTGGAAAAAGAAGTTCTTTATTGCACTTAGTGCAATAAAGTTTTTATTGCACTCATCTGTCATTCTACTTCAACGTGCTGTCATCATGAGAAACATTTTTTATATTGCAACTGTGGTTATAGAAACGTCAGTCAAAAATTAATTCTGACAATTAACAGAATTGTACCTAGTGCCGCACCTCAATAAATCATTTTTTGCTTTTTGCATGAACGTAGAAAACATTTTGTATGCAACTCGTGCAAAGATTGTTTATTGCACTCGACGTGAAATTGTCCGACGAGGCCATTAGGCCGAGTTGGACAACACAATAAACATTCACTTTTTGCACTTGTTGCATAAATAACTATTATGACGTCAATTCTAATAGTAGATTGATTTATTATTATTTTTTATTGCGAGTCGAACAAAGTCACTTTTGATCCGAATGAAACATGCTATTTTTTCTGCAACCGAAACAATTAACTCAAATGCAATGCAACAAATATTGACAAATAATCCGTGTGGTGAGAATATTCTACCTGCATTAACAGCAGGTTAGGTTTTCGAGGATGTTCGAATTGTAGTTTCAATATGAATTCAACCACAGAGTGACTTATTTGTGTATGAACCAGGTGCTCTAATGGCAAATACCGCGCCAGTGCGAGCTATAGGAACAAGACGTGGAAAATGTTAGGTTAGTGAGCATATCAACAATGATAATAGTGATTATTTATTCCTCATTCCTCTCCATTACTACACTGTGTTTTACTTGATAATCGAATGAAGCTAAACAATATCGTTGTTTGAGACAAAAAAACTATTGCTTGCCGTTATTATTCAAAAACAAGTTATCCATCCCGAGAATAACGAATGAAATATAGATCAAGCAAGTATTTGAATCTTCAAGGCTTCCCTGATCAAAACAAAAATACTTAACTGAGATGTTTAAAATTCCAATACTAAACTATAATAAGGTGTATTTATATCTCCAGCATGGGTATTAAATGCCAAATCTGCTGAAATCGGTAACAAATCAGGTATGCGTTTCAACCCAAATAACCTGCTCCTAGGAACTAAAATTCAACTTTAGCTCCTAGGAACTAAATATGTTGCCTAGCAACATACCTATTTTTGTGTCAGTAATAGAAACGTCAATTTAAGAGCTGATTTTGGTATTAAAATGGACGACTTTTGTGTCGGTTGCAGAAAATATAATTTTCTTCAACCACAAATACCGATCAACGTCTGACTTAGGTACATCGTTGAGGCATCTGGAGAAATTATGCGAGAAACATGATATTCCACAGTTGATAATCATGGGAAATGCTGACAGTAATAATTTTCTAAAGGAACTGAGAAATGATAAAAATCAAGTATTGAATAGGAAACTGAAAATTTCTATTATTATAATGATAAACAAAAGGTTAGATGATAAAGAACTACGATCTAATTGGAGACAGGACATTACATGTATAAATATGTCCCAAAGGCATGAAAAAACATTGAAGTTTATCGAACGGCACCTGTGCCAATCACTATCCTGAGCAATCCTGAGCAAAATAATTGAATCGGTGAGAATAAGAACAGTACAAGTCCAAAATTTGACATTTCGAACTGGAATAGCCATTTTATCTGTAATACGAAGCTGCATCCAATGAGTGGAGAAACAGTATTAATATCACTATATCAAGGCATATGACGGCGCTCATCGTGAAGCGTTGAGCGTAAGGACAGAACAACTTTGCAGAGAGTTTTTCTTGTTATACGACGCTATACATAGTGGAGTATACTACGGCCGTGCCAAAAATGCTATCTCGGAAACTAAGCGAGATAGAGGTATAGTTGCTTTGGAGAAAATGATCCCCATCGAATTTTGAGCAACTTTGGTTTTTGTGTGTGGTCTGTCTGTCTGTCTGTCTGTACTCTGTGTTAATCATAAATCGATATATCTCCGGAACCCTTTGACATATCGACTTGAAATTTTGCCATCTTATTGTACTCAAAACAATATTATGTCATTGAAATATGAAGGAAATCGGAAAACTCTAAGGTGGTTTTTCCGGGTTTTTTCGATTTTTCACCGGAAGTTCCTTGTAATCACTCTACAAATCGCAAAAGTGGTCCGATCGATTTCATTTTTTGTGAAAAAAACCTCTATCAGGAAGAGACGAAGCCTATTGAAATTGAGCAGGGTCGGAAAATTCCAAGTGGGTTTTTCAAGGAGATTTTCCGAAAAACACGGTTCGCTTTAAAACGACATATCTCGTGAACAAATAGACTAAATCCAAATTTGAGAAATGCACCGTATGCCTCTTTGATGACGCAACAAATTATCATTCAATCATTTTTTCGTGCATCCATCGGAAACTGGAAAAACAAATGAAAACCCAAACATCAAAATTTGAAATCCTTTTAATTCAATATATATCGAAAACAAATGGAAAAATCGAAAATTATCAAGGGTGCAATGTTATCCACTGGAACATTCCCTACAAATCATTTTCCATAATTTTTTCTGTAAACCCAATAGTACAGGAAATAAAGTGAAAAATATGAAAAAAAAAATTTTAACGACCCATAGGGTACTATGAAGATATATTGAAAAACATAGATTATCGATAGATGAAGCTCATCGTCTTCCACTGAACCATGAAATATTTTTTCATTTTGTTGATTGGAAGATGGAACAAAAGTGTTGAAAATTTTATTCTCAGATAATTCGAAATATCTCGAAAACAACTGGAAATATCTGAAAATGTTATAGAACCGAAATTATTCCTTTTGATAGAATCTACAAAAAATCTGGATAACATTTTTCTCTGAATTCAATAGTTCGGGAGATACGATGAAAAAACTAAAAAAATTACAAGTTCCTAGATAATCACTTGCCAATAGAAAACGAAACCAAAAAACAAAAGAAAGTAAAGAAAGCACACTCGATTGTCTTGATATTTTTCCCCTTAACTACTTACCTAGCTCACTCGACTGTCTTTATTTTTCGCCAATAAACTAGGTACCTAGCTCACTCGACTGTTAATTTTTTGCCCATGAACTACGTACCTAGCTCACTCGACTGTCTTGATTTCCCATAAAGAAGAAATATGGCATTGTTTTAACTTTTTTTTGTTTCTGTTTTTTTAGTCCCTATTGGCAGTCGAGTGGGCTAGGTACGTAGTCTGTGTGGAAAAACCAAGACAGTCGAGTGGGCTAAGTACGTAGTTTGTGGGAAAAATCTCCAGTTCTCTGAACTTTCATAGCGTCGTATATACATCTTTGGTGCCCAATGATAGTTTCAATATAAAAATATGCTCATGATATGGTGCCATAGCCTCCACTTCCATCTTACATGAGCAATGATCAATACTAATCTGATACCTTTCAAAAACTACGTACCTCACTTGTTTTCCCAAAACTGTAACATTTGGACTTGTACTGTTCTTATTCTCACCGATTCAATTGGAAAATTGCCCTTTCCTGTGTGGAAATTTTCACTCGATTTCGCGAATTGATAACGAGATAAGAATTATGCCATCCGATACCAATTGAATGGTAGATTTCAAAAACCTATCTGTGGCACCCTTCAGTCTGAGCCAAATTCACGACGGCACAGCGATTTATTTGCTGCTATTATTCCAGACATATACTTCCGTCATGTGATAACGAGTTGAAACAAGGAGCAGATAAAACGGGATGATTTCGCCTTTGCCAATATCCCAACGTGCCGCGATTCAAACTGATCTAAGTTAGGGGCAGAGCGTAAATACTTCCGAGAATATTTTGTCCCCTTCTAAAGACAATATCCTATGGACCAGTGTGAAACTCAACATGTCGATTAGAATACTTGTAGTGTGAGCACCTAATGAGTTTCAAACTGGTCCATCGGATATTATCTTTCGGCGAGGGCAAAATATTCACGGAAATACTGACGCTCTGTCACTAACTTAAGACAGTTTGAATCGCGGAACGTTTCGATATTCGCAAAAGGGACATTTTTCCTTTTTACATGCTATTTGTTTCAACTCGTTATTACATAACGAAAGTTTGAGCAGAATAATAGCAGCAAATAATTCGCTGTGCCGTAGATTTGCCTCGGACTGAGGAATGACACTTGAGATCTACCATTCAATAGGTATCCAGATGGCATAATTCTTATCTCGTTATAAAATAGCAAAATAGAGTGCAAATTTGAGCACAGGAAAGTGCAATTTTTTTATGATTGTGCTCAGGATAGTGATTGACATATATCATTTCGTTATCAGATGACGGTAGAAATCTGCAGCCGCTTCTCCTACTAATAGTGTGGGAGCCCTCGCAGACTCTCAGGGTGTCCCACTAAACACTCCACCCCGCTTTTAGGCTCTTCTGACCGATATCTCCGACGACACTCAGGCCTAGTGACCATCTTACCTTACGCAGTAGTTTTTTATTGTGCCCATTAAGGGTATCTTATCCATCCTATGGATATCCAGATTAGTGGCCTGAGGACATCCACTGGACGTCCATTGGATATCCTTTGGATAATATTCAGATGTATAGTGGATATCCAAAATATCCTGAATGGATATCCACTGGACATCCATCAGATGGCCATACGATGTATGTATCCATACATACCGGGTGACACAGGGTATCGGGCCACCCCTGTAACTTCTGCTTTCGTCATCGGATTTTTCTGAAATTCGGTACAGTTATATGAGCAATTATTTCGGATTTGATCACATTACAATCCAATATGGCGGACTTCCGGTATTTCTGGAAATGTCAGCAACTTTGTTTTTTCAAATGAAACACCCTGTATATTTTTACATATTCAAGTTCAACAGGTCGAAACAAGTGCAATCTTTAATTCAAATGTCATTTTTTCGAAAAAAATTAAATTGACATTGTTTTTTAATTTTACCTCGTGGATAAATGCGATGTGGTCAAGACTATTCACAATGAGGCACACATAACAGAAGAACATAATTTTTTCTGAAAAATTATTTTTTGTGTCACTGATCCAGGAATCAATTCAGCCACATCACTCTTTGATCAAAAATTATTTTTTTTCAAATGGAACCCCTATGGGCCACCTACCCGTCTCTCTAGAACATGCATTAAGGAACAAAATGACATATCATTTTTGTTTTTCGGTGCAGTAACAAATTGTATACATTCAAAAATCAACAACTAGTTTATGAATTTCCTTGCAGTTAGAATAATTTTTCAACTAGGTAGGCTGTGGAATAAATGACATTCGACATCAAGATTGCACTTGTTTTGACCTGTTGAACTTGAATATGTAAAAATATACAGGGTGTTCCATTTGTAAAAACAAAATTGCTGGCATATCCTGAAAAACCGGAAGTCCGCCATATTGGATTGTAATGTGATCAAATCCGAAATAGTTGCTTATATAACTGTACCGAATTTCAGAGAAATCCGTTGACGAATGCAGAAGTTACAGGGGTGGCCCGATAACCTGTGTCACCCGGTATATACATTTTGATGTCGCTTTGTATACTTGAATGTATTACATTTCGAGAATTATTGTTAACTGTTGAGGAATACCTTTCCAAAAATTACGTTCTTTCCATCGAGCCACGGCATTGGCATCGTGGTTATCATAAATTGACAGCCATTGGTATCTGGACCTGGAACATTTCTCGAGGTGAATATTCCATATACTTACTCTCATATACAGGGGCTTGTAATGAGAATTCCAATCCCAATATAGAATTCGACAAGTCGGGTAAATTTCTGTTTTCAAGGAAAGCACTTTCAATTTGTACTTCCAACACATAATTTCAGAGTCATTTCTATTGTGAATATACTGATGCACCATTTTCGAAAATCGGTTTAGATTTGACGGTGCTATTGGAATTGCATTTGTAGAAGAAGTTTGGTTGAATGGCCACCAAGATTACCTGACCTGAATACAATTCGCGAGAGTACGGGTACGCCACACATTCTGAAATACTAGAGGTGTTGAGTCAGAGAATATCCATAATATACCGGTAATCTTGATTGAATACCAAAAAATCACAGATTTCGAGAAAATTTTAAAAACAGGGAGTTCCAAAAAATTATTTGTGGTTCGCCACGCTCCCAAGGATCGCCCTGTAAAAGGTATGATTAGGGCTGAGGAGAGGCCTTTTTGCAGATAAAATTATCAGGAGTGCATGATTGATATTTTATCAGTTGATAGTATTTTGTATAGATGCACATGCACCCCCCCTGAAAGAAATCCTGGCGGCGCCCATGTTTATAACATCAGTTTTCGCTTATGAGATTCTGGAAATTATGCACAAAAAATCAAGAGAGTGATTCTACATGATACAATGAGAAATTCAGTTTACATGTACGTGGGTCTGGAAATGCATAGTTTTCAACATACAGTGTGTTAAAACTCTTAAGAAAGATAGGTTTTTTATGACTATCTCAAATGTCCTTCAACTGATTTTCTGGAAACTTGACAATGATATTCTTTGTCATTAGGTGCAGTGGCGTCCCGGGGACAACCTACCGAATATTATTCTCAATAAAATGTGCGCGACTGATTTTTCTGAATCCTATATCTTCATAACCTATTGACCAACTAAAAATATACCATTTCGGTCTCTTGAATTGTTTTGATAATTTCCTTCATTTCCATGGAGAAAAAAAAACAATTTATTGCATAAATTGATGCCAACAAAATCCTTCAAAAATAAATGCGTGATCAATATCCATAGACATAGAATAAGTATGAAGATTAATTTTTTTCAAATATTTCTTGATACATGTTTGACAGACTTTATACACTCTATATTTTGACAACTATAATAATAATAATAATAATAATCATTTATTATTTACCATTAACAAAAATTAAATTCCTATGTGTTCAGGTCTAAACACTAATACAATAATAATGATATGGTAAATAAATGGTGCAATGTTAGGCCAAAGGCCGATTCTTCCACACTGCCCGATAAACTAAAATAAATAAAGTGAGATAAATAAATAAGCCGCAAAGACCTCTAGAGAAATTAATAGTGATACAATATGAAATATGTCAAACTGACTACTGTTTATATCATCTTAGAAAACCAATGTGCCTGCCTTCCTATTGTGGAATACACAACAATAAGGAGAAAGAGAGGAACAAAAAAAAAACAAAGAATGGAAGGAATCATAATTATCAATCATTGTTGCTCAAGTAATTGTTTTTTGAGTTTGTATTTAAGGGTTATATATTATTATATATTCTAGGTCCAGGAAGGCGTAGTTTTTGATAGTACAAAGTGTATCAATTATTATAAAATATGTGAAGAAAACTAATCTTCATTCTTATTCTACGTCTATGGACATGGATCACACATTTAATTTCACCCCTGGTTTTGAAGCAATGTTTTTCACAAATTTATATACAATGAATTGGTATTTATTTTTTTCCACGGAAACGCAGCAAAATAGCAAAACGATTCAGGAGACCAAAATTTTGTATTTTCAGTTAGTCATTAGGATATAAAAATATAGAATGTAAAAAAATCAGTGCCGCACATTTTAATGACAATAATATTCGATAGGGTGCCCCTGGGACGCCACTGGATTTCACAAATCCAATTTGATTATGGCTAAATCAGTTCCTCATGACAAAGAATGTCATTGCCAAATTTCAAGAGAATCGGTGGAAGGATATTTGAGATATTCATAAAAATAGTTATTTATTATACAAGGGAAAAAAGTAGTAGATTTTAGCTCCAGGTTGTGTTGTATTCCGACGCGTAGCGGAGGGAGACAACAAACCGTGAGCTAAAATCTAATATTTTTCCCGTGTATAATACACTATTTTTTTCTGTGACAGAAGAAAGGACGAATCAATATTGAGGAGATATTACATTATTTTGAAATCTGAAAATTATCGACGTGAAATTTCAAGTTTTTAACAGTAGGGTCACCGCGTTGTAGGCATCGTTATCATTCATTTGAAGTAATCAAATATCTGATGTCACTTCTGTCAGTCTAATTCTGTAATTTGATTTCAAAAAATTGCGAATTTTGTGATTGTTCAGTAATATTCGTAACCGCGAAGTCGAATGGAAATAAAAGGACTAGCAGTTCTTTCTCGCAGACGGTATTATTGACTCATTTTTCGGAACTATAGCACAACAAAAGCCATCAACAGTGTATATATATGTAATATATATCCGGTAAAAAAGTACTCACTTTTTTCCCACGGGAAAAAAGTAATTTATGAAAAGTGACATTTTATAACCCGCCAACAGGGATGAAATGCCAAACTTTTTTCCCGTCACAGAAAAAAACGATTTTTTCTAAAAGTTTAGCACACTGTTTCTTGAAAACTATGCATTTCCGGACCCACGTATATATGAAATTAATTTCATGTTTCCTCATGCAGAATCAACCCCTTGATTTTTTGCGCATAATTTCCGAACACCCTGCATACAATAAGTATATCTACTTCAAGTATTTATAATAACTTTATCTACCACTCACCTTCATTCGCCATCATCAACAATCCAGGAGAATCATTTTTTATTATGAAGTTTTCATCCTCGAAATATTTTCCATAAATGCTCATTGATCCAGTACCATTATCATTGACAATATCACCTCCTGAAAATAAAATGTTTGTATTACCAAACGCGATTCGTAGGCGTGAGTGAATCACCCTATACCCGCACGCAATTTTGTTTGGGAAGTGTCATTTTCTCGCACTAGTGCGAGAAAAGTTTTCCCACACTAGTGCGGGAAAAACAATGATGATGATATTATCGCGAAATATAAGTGGTTTGTGGAGGAATATAAAAGTTTAAGCTTGTTTGCTGCTGCAGTATTCGGTGGGTTTGTTCAAAATCATCTATCAAATCAATTGCACTATTCATTGTGAACAAGAAATATTGAGAAATGATAATTGATTTTTATAAAAATCCCCCTATAGCCTTGAATTGATCTGATGAGGGAAACATTATTGTTGTCATGTCAATCAAAACATGAATGAGTTTGTAATCCTCAGAGCATTTTCGCTCAGAGTGACAGACAGTAACATTTTTGATTCAGTGGAATTGCTATGGAAAACTTTCAGCTACAGAAGCGATACAGATGAGTTATTGCCAACGAAGTCTTAAGAAAGGTATGAGAAGCACTACACGGGATTTATTGAATTGGTCAATAGTAAAAAAATGAAAACACCAAATAAAGAAGAAGTAGTTTTGGCTCATTTCCTAGAAATGTCTGAAACCTAGAGGCCAAACACCATGGGCATGCTGGCTCCGGCAATAAGCTTACCTATACATAATGCTTCAAACGGTACACACAATAGATGTATCACTAAAAATCAGAAGATAGAGAATATATCACTATTATTGTTAGTTGTTCCTATATTTGCAGGAATAACTGATTAAACAAATCAATCAATTTCCTACGCTTGTAAAAAATTGTAAGATAACCAATGAGGCTCCAAATATACGAAAGAATAATAGGCATATATTTTTGAAGGAACTAATTGACTCTTTCTATTGCAGAAAATTGAAAAATCTGCAGATGATGATTCATGAATTGATACACCTGGTGACTCCATTGGTAATATATGAATATTTCTATGAAGGTCATCATTAGCGTTTACAAAGAGCGCACTCTCAAAAGTAGGTTTAGATTTTTCATAGTGAAACACTGTATATAGAATGACATTATCATTTGGCGAAAATCACAGGGGGGAGACTCCCCCTCCCATTTCATATATTTTTTTTATAAAAAACATGTTATTTCTGTGACGGGAGAAAGTTTGAAATTTCATCTCTGTTGATAGGTTAAAAAATGTCACTTTTCAAAAATTAGTTTTTTCCCACAGGAAAATATGAGTAATTTTTTCCCGGATATTTATCACATATATATGTACAGGGTGTCCGGAAATTATGCGCAAACATTCAAGGGAGTGATTCGACATAGCGAAATAAGAAATTTATTCCATATGAACCTAGGTCCGGAAAAGCATAGTTTTTAACACACAGTGTGTTGAAACTTTTAAAGAAGATCGGTTTTTTATGAATATCTCAAATGTCTTTCCACCGATTGCCTTGAAATATGGCAATAATATTTTTTGTCATGAGGGGTTGATATACCCATAATCCAATTGGAATCTTGGAATCCAGTGGCCTCCCGATGGGCAACCTACCGAATATTATTAGCAATAAAATGTACGCTACTGATTTTTTTGAATTCTGTATCTTCATAACCTATTGACCAACTAAAAATACAACATTTTGGTCTCTTGAATTGTTTTGCTATTTTGCTTCTTTTCGGTGGAAAAAAATGAATTCCAATTCATTGTATATATTTGTGCAAAATATTGCTTCTAAAACAGGGGTGAAATTAAATGTGTGATCTATGTCCATAGACGTAGAATAAAAATGAAGGATAATTATCTTCAAATATTTTATAATACATGTTTGACACACTGTACAAGTGTACACTCAGTATATTGAGAACTATGTATTCTCGGTCCAGGAAGGCGTATAGTTTTCGATAATTCAAAGTGTGTCAAACATGTATCAGCAAATATTTGAAGAAAATGAATCTCCATTCTTATTCCACGTCTGTGAACATGGATCACACATTTAATTTCACCCTTTTTTTTAAGCAATATTTTGCGAAAATTCGTACAATGAATTGGTATTTATTCTTTTCCACGAAAACGCGGCAAAATAGAGAAACATTTAAGGAGATTGAAATGTTATATTTTCAGTTAATCATCAGGATATGAAGATGAAGAATTCAAAAAAATCAGTGGCGCACATTTTATTCACAATAATATTTGGTAGGGTGCCCCAGGGACGCCACTGGATTTCACAATTCCCATTCAAATCATGATTGAATCAGCCCCTCATGCCAAAGAATATCATTGACAAATTTCAAGGAAATCGGTGGAAGGATATTTGAGATATTCATAAAAAAAACGATTTTTTTAAAAAAGTTCAACACACTGTATCTTGAAAACTATGCATCTCCGGACCCAAGTATATATGAAATAAATTTCATGTTTCCACATGCAGAATCACCCCCTTGATTTGTTGCGCCTAATTTCGGGACACCCTGTATATACACTGTTGATGGCCTTCGTTGTGCTATAGTTCCGAATAATAAACCAATAACACCGTCTCCGGGAAAAAACTGCAAGTCCCTCCAGTGCCGGATTCAGGGGGGGGGCTATGGGACTATCAGCCCCCGGCGGTGAATTTCAAGAGGCGGTAGAGGAAAAGAGAAAAGAGGAAAAGTAAGCAGCAATACAGTCGTGGCCGACGAGGCGACAAATATATTATATTGCTTCTTGCTTTTTATGTGCCGCCACTTTAGGCGCCTTTTCTTAGAGATTCAGTTTTTGTGAAAATCATAACATGCACTAATCTAGCGTCATCGTCCACCAAATTAGAATATTGGTGGACGATGCTACAGTATAGTTACAGTACTAAAGCGGCGGCGGTACATACTTTTATTTGATGATAAAAAAACCGCATTCTACTCAGTAGAGAAGGGGTGATTTCGTGATTCCTTTAACTCAATAACAAAAAACAAAATCAGAGTTCAATATTTAATAGGTGTTCGTTAGTATTGATGGTAATGGTACTGATAATAAATGAATATTGAAACTGAAATTTCAAAAAATGAGTAAAAAAGAAGTTGGTGCATTCTGGAAACGGCAGAAGCAGTTAGACGAAGTTGTCAAGAAATGCCCTAAAACAATTTTTTTTTCTCAAATTCAAATGAGACAGAATCAGTACCGACAGAACCGTCTCTGGGAACTTCACGATCTCAAAACGGGAATGGTAAATTTTATATTTTTTTAAATTCAATACGCGAAAACGAAGAATCATAATCTCAAAAATAGATGAGCAAAGTATGAACACCGACTGAGCGTTGTTTCAGGGATGATCACAACGAATTCCTAATTCATTGAATATTGGCAATTACTGAAAATTTGTTTACTATCCCTAATGATTAGTAATACCAGTGGTGAAAGGTCATTCTCAACTTTAAGAAAACTACCTTAGGAATTCCATGGTAGACGATACATTGAATATCTTATCAATTTTAAGTATCAACAGTGACATGTTATTAAATCTAAATTTTGATGATGCCATTGACGACTTTGCATAAATAAAATGAAGAAAAGTATTCTAATTTTCATCAGAAAAAAATTTTTGTTGATTTTTGTTATGTTTAACGTGTGCAGTGAATATAATTTGATTCGTTGTACATGATGATTTCATGTTATTGTTAGGTATATGCTATAATAAAAGCAGTGAAAGGATTATTTGAATTTTGAAACTGACAATTGAAATTTAATATTTGGCGGCGGCGCGGCGGCATCGTAAAAGTTAGCCCCCGGCATAAGGGAGTATAAATCCGGCACTGAGTGGTAACGCACTGAGTCCTTCTATATCTTCCATTCGACTTCACTTCAGGGTTATGTAAATTACTAAACAACCACTGAATTCGCAATTTTTGTTATCAAATCACAGAATCAGACTGACAGATATTTGATTACTTCAAAAGAATGATGAAGATGCCTGAAAAAATCGTGTATTTTCATAGACGAATATATAATGTATTATACACGGGAAAAATATTAGATTTTAGCTTGAAATCTACTAATTTTTTCCCTTGTATAATAAATAACTATTTTTCGAGTTTACGTCATACCTAGGTAACTGTTTTTTTTACGAAAAATCTGCTAACACAACAAACATCTCCTGTTTGATAGGGTGTATACAAGATATAGGATATACAGGGTGTTCCTTAAAGACATGCTAATATTTGAGAGGGTGATTCTCTGACTCATTTCAAGAAGAAAACTTCATGTGAACGTATGTTCTAAAAGTCTTAACTTTTGAGATACAGGGTGATGAAGTTTTGAAAAATATTCAGTTTTTTTATGAAAACTGGGACAATATTTTATACATCTGTATGAAATTTGGTACACGTCTTTTATGCATTAAGGTGCATTTTCTGATGCACAGAAATTTCCATTTTCTTCACCAGTGGCACCGTTACAGGAAAATTATTGTTTATATTTCACTTAAAAGTGAGCAACGACGAAACATTTTCAAATTTCATACAATGCTATAAAAGGCTATTTAATTATGTACAAGAAAGATCCTACTGTTGATACTGGATAGAACGCTTCGTTTTCGAGAAAAAACGGAAAAACGAGACCAGACTTTGAATTTTGATGTTTGAGTACTTCATTCAGGACAGCCATTACTAGATGACCACCGTTTGTGTACCGATTCAGTCACATAGCAGACTGAATTTTGCCATCACGAAAAGCTATACAGGGTGGACAAAAAAATAATCTATACATATTTTCAACATTAACACCCTGTATCTCAAAAGTTAGGACGTTTACGACATATCATGTTCATATGAAGTTTTATTCTTGAAATGGGTCGAAGAATCGGACAATTGAATATTAGGATATCATTAAGGAACACCCTGTATACACAGGAAGTTTAGGTATTAGCTGGAATTGATTAACATAATCAATACCTCTTGAACTTTCCCTCTTCAACGTTTAGATATAAGTGGTATAAATAAATTGTTTTACCTTGTATCATAACCCTTTCGATTGCTGTGTGGAATCTAGTGCCCAAGTAAGATTTTCCATTGATTCCGTTTATTGCAATTTCTTTGAAATTTTCGCAGGTGATTGGTGCTACCTCTCCAAATAAACCAAAAACTATTCGTCCTAAGAGCCTGTTATCCATTTTGACGTCAAAATAAATTTGGTCGGTCACTTTATATTTTGAACACTGCAACAGAAGATATACCTATTCATTTTCAAATTGTCCCATTTGTCAGCAGATCGAGAGCGGGTGAGAAGGCCTGGTGGGCCGATACAGTACTATCTCGCTCTTGCCACCGAACAGAAACAGAGTTTCTGTTCGGTGCTCTTGCTGACAATGATTGGGGCAACTCTGTCAATCCTGGATCTCTAAGTTAAGAAATCTAAGCTCTTTGAATAGGATTTGTGAATCTTTCAACTCAAGTACAAGGTTGGTAGAACTGCTCAAGTAGTCAGGTAGTGCCATCTGTCAGCGTAGTAGGCCGGCGTACCTCAGTGCTTCGATGCTTCAATATCGATTCACGTCGAGGTATCGATCGTGGGTTCGAGTCCCACGAACGCAGACTTTTTCTGATGGCCTAAGAAAGTGTTTGGGATCACACGTTAAAAGGTAAGGCCCCCGTCATTCCTTGCGCGCACAAGACTTTCGAAGACTTCTGAGGGTTGCTCGTAAGGGGACTAAGGGGGCAACCGAATGACGGATAGAACAATTTTAGAACAAATTTTAGTAGTTTAGAACTAGGGGTCTGTTGACTATAGATGACAGCGTCCTACCACCCTACTGTGTATGGCGTCACCTATACCAGAGATTAGTCAAATCTCTGCCTATACCTATGCCAATAGATGGCTGATAACAGACCTACAAAGATGCGACAGGCTCAGAATATATGTTTAGTGTGTGACGAATAGGAAAAAATGAAGATATTTGGTTGAAATGCAGTCTCTGTGGCAACACTGGCAATTGGGCACATGAATCGTGTACTGATTCTGAAAATGAATAATTTTTCCTCCCATTGGCAGCAAATATTAATTTTGCTGACACATATCAATCAGCAAAGTATTACTTTTCCTGCCTAGGCAGCAAACTAGTTACTTTACTGATTGATATGTATCAGCAAAATTAAAAATCCATAAATCGTTTATAATTTCCTTCATATTTCATCCAAGACTTCTCCGTCAACAAATTCAACTCTATATTTTTTGCCACCTTCCTTATTAATGGAGGTGTAAGTATACTTCCAGGTCGCTATCACTGTCCATTATATAATAATATAAATATACCGATATTTTTTCGCAAAACTGTCAGAAATTTCATGAATTGTCAAACCAACAACTGCGATTTCTATCAAATTTTATTTCAATTGAACACTATACAGGAAAAATAAAGAGATTGTGGGAATTGTATTAATTCGCAAATACAAAATTCTTCCATATCATTATGAACAATCGGAGAAAAAATTATATGTTCAACTTGGCAGCAAAGTAGTAGATTGACTGCCGAGGCTGAATTCATAGCCGAGCGTACCGAGGCTAGGAATCCAGCTAAGTTAATCAAATAACTATTACTATTCACTTAACAGTAGTCATCCAATATTTTTCATTTACTCTTTGAAAAAAATTGTTTTTTCGAATATTCAAAAAATGTTCATCAACAGGATTATCATGTCTATTCGTTTCCTTGTTTTTGTGATCAATTGCCATAAAATAATCTATACCTATAGAAAAAGAAATGCTCTCCTCTAAGTTTTCACAGCAGCTACTGAATTGGATATAACATGAAACATAATATTTGTTTTATACTATACAGGGTGTCCCAAAATTGCTGGAACACAGAGCTACCACGTGTTATAGAGGTCAAGATAAGTTGATTGGACCCAATTTATCCACATACCAAAATGTATCGTTTATTGACCGTGAGAAGAGTTCTGTTTGAATAAAAAACAAGTGCATTTCAATTTTTCACGACGAATTGACCTTTATTGTATTGATAATAAAGGCGGCCGTCATATGGAACATTTATAATAAAAAAACGTTCTGCATTTGTTTCCACAGTCAACTAAATTTTGTATTATAATGTAAATTATCAAACTTGTACCTACTGGAAATCTTTGCTAGCATTATTATGGATAGATTATTTTTTCCTTCGGAAATATGAGGAGTATACAAAGTTTCTACAAGAGTAACAAAATGACTATAATCAATCTGTATTCTCGTTATCCTCTAAAATGCACAAGCAGTACATTATGGTTTCTGGTATACAGATAAATTGTGTCCAATCAGCCTACTTAGACTTCTCTATTACCCGTGGCACGTGGTATAGCTCTGTGTTTCAGGAATTTTGAGACACCCTGTATATTAGCGAGACCTCACCAGAGATGTTCGGTGACCAGAGTAATAACATAATAGTATCTGATGTATCTTGATCTTTTTTCAATTTCAATTTCAACTCTTTCGATATTAGCATTTAAATAACCATCTATTTTTATTTCTAAACGCATGTTGCCGACACTGTTTTCTTTCATTTCAAAGGGCAATTAATCTTAATAATTGGAAATTAAATTTATTGCCCGCCTTGCAATAATTTCGAACGTAAAACGGCAATATAATCTTCATGCATGTAAATTTATTTCACTCACCTCATCGCACGACGCTATCGAAAGTAATACAAGAAATTTATACAAATGATTTGAATACATTTTTAACATAAATTTCACAGCTGTCGTATGTTTTATGCTTTTATGTTACCAAGCTGACTATGGCTTGCATATGAGTTCGATTTTTTCATATACCTATATACTGCTTATTACGGTAATTCAATTATAAATTAGCGCTTGATGGCATAATATAAGTAGGTAATCTGTGATATATACCTTATATTATACCTACCGTGTGCATGGAGACTTTGAATGGAATAAATTAAATATAGCGGAGAGGTGATTTTTTTTTCCAAAAATGCTCGACATACCTACGTCAACGATTCAATGTATATTCACATACATTTTGCGAACAATATCGAGATTATATCCTTTCAAGGGTTGCTGAAACTATCCTCAAGATGTTTTTTCAAATGCAAATCTATGTTTTGTGACCCCTCTTTGAAAAGCTGGTGGAAAGAGGAATGCAGCGTGATGACCAAATTACATTTTTTCGTACGATTCATGGTTGAATATACTCAGAATGGTGTTGCCGGACGCCCAGAATGAAATTTCCCAGCTGACCAACCAAAAAATCCCGGTTTTTCCCGGTCATATTTTTTTTCTTGAATATATTAGATCTATGATTGCTGTCCTATACATATAGTAATAGAAAATGAAGTGTTTCTCCAAACAAAAAACAAACCTACCACCATTTGATATATCGAAGATTATATGATGATTTGATCAATGAACCCAATATTGAGTTCATTGGATTTGATGACATATGTACCTACCTGTGCTTGGATCAACGTTGTTCTCTTATTTTTTCATTACATTCATGTAAAAAGGTTGGGTTGAACGGAATATGTGTAACTTCCATTCATTCAGCTAGGTGGAAAGGAATATCCTTAAGCACAAAAAACAAACCGAATAACTAGCATATTACAAGAAAATTTGAGTTTCAAAAATGGAACGTTTTGCCAATTATGATTTATCAAGGAAGAATAATCAGACTCATCCAATTTTATTTCCATATAATTATATGCATGAATAATATGTATCAAACATAACAAATGAACTACCAATCTCATGAAAAATTGATAGATATATATAAACCTATGTGAATTGAATAATTTATTTAGGTAACATGTGTTTAGTTGATAATTGAAAATTATCATCAGGTGCGGAATAGGATCCGAAAATTCAAATAAAAAATTCGTCTCTCATATTCTCAAAACTCTATAAGAAGTGTGAAAAATCTATTTTCACAACTTTTTCTTGAATGCCTTCTTTGGTATATATAAGAGAAGTTAGAGTTGTTTTCTTCATTTTATTCCTGTGGTCTGTTTCAATATTTTTGAGGTCACTGAAAATCCGTTCCACACAAGCATCAGAAATAATAAAAGGAAATAACAAATCACAAACAACAAAAAACACAAAACGTGAGTCATTAGATTGTCTTTTCATTTACTATGCATCTTCGATCAGTGATCAGCGATCACTTGCAGATTATAGTGTTCCCGGCAATTCACTTATTCACTATAATAATAACTAGCTATAACAAAAACATCTTCAACACCATTGATTTCCCGAAAATTTCCCGAAATAATCCATTTCCCGGTGAACTTCCCCAACGCCATAAAAAATCCCGAAATTCGGGAAATTTCCCGGAGATTGGCAACACTACAGAATGTAATTTGGAGCGCTTTCGTGCGGAATTTCTGTGTAACGATTCACAATTCTCATCAATGGCCGAGTGAACTAATGAATTATTGGCATACAGTTACTTCACTGTGTCGTTAGGGACCTAAATTAATTTTTGCAACACTTCTCATGTATTTTTATGTGAATAATGAGTCTATGCGTTGTTTGAACCTTTGAATTTCGGATACCGTCGTGGCCGCCATTTGGCGATACGTCGAATAAATGGTGACGTCAGTATTTATACTGTTTAATTATTGGTCATTCCCCTTCACGAAGCAAGGTTGTCAAGTCACCATTATATATCAAGTTACCAAAAAGATGTTATAGAGATATCGATCAACGATAGAGTCCTGTCGTTGAATAAAACATAATAAGTAGGAGGAACCCATGATATTATAGTTACTTCTTGACTTTTTCCAGCAACCATCAGCATGTCTGAATATTTCTTATACCTATCATAACAAAATATCATGTAAATGTTGGAGACCTGGCAACATTGTGCTAAATACTGAGAATTGACAAGACAACGCCCACAATTCGAGCGCCGTGTTGTCACGTTTACCCGAGTGTTTACCGGTTCAAATGCCGTCTAGTGTGAATTAATATAATTTATATTTACATAAATGTATTATATAAGCAATAAAAGCCACGACACATGAAAACATTTTGTGACAATTGCATTTTTTTTTATTATTGAGTAACTATATGATATTTCTGAAGTTTCAACACATGGCAACTATGTGCTCTGGTCTGCCCTTACTTTTCATTTTATCATAGGTTTAGAGAATGCATGTATATCCAGGGGCGGACTGGGTTGAAAAATGCTAGAGGGCTTTGTGGATCAAAGGGCGCAACATGAAATGATTGTCTGAGTGTTTTGGCCCAATATTGGAATATTGCATGAAAAATTAAAGACAACCCCTGATTATTGATGTATGATATTATCTCCTTCTCGAATAAACAGATACATTCTTACTATCTGAAAAAATACCTACTCAATATATTCATCTTCTGCATGTATTCCTCCAAATATATGCTTTTGAAACGATTCGAACCAAACATCAGAGTTTCATGGATTTTGAATAGTGTTTGAGAGTATAGGCCATGACAATGAAAACAATTTTATTTTTTACTGATCAGATTTGCAATCATTCTTATTATTTTATTTCAAAAATCGATCAAACTCTGTTAGTCTTAGATACTCAAGAATTGAAAAATATGGAAGATGATTATATTGAATGATGTGTCTTTGGAAAGCTCTTTGAGAGGTCTCTCCGTGGTAAAGAAATATACAGTGTCCCATCAACGATTTAATAGACACAGTATTGCTATTTCCCAAACAGTAAGAGATATAAAGTTGATTAGATAGGACAAACGTTGCTTAATTTGAACTTATTCAATATGACGTTATGCACTTTCGAAAAATGTCAGCCGTTCCTGAAATATTTTGAAAAGACTGAAAATCACTGATTTCGTTCCTAATTATTCTCTTGGTTAATATTAGAGAGAAAATATTGAAATTTTGTGTGAACAGGTAATTAATCATGGAAGGTAAAGAAGTTGGGATTCTCAGAAATATTCTATCTATTATTTTCAGAGATTTACCAATTCAAATTCAATCATAGAAATATAACTGGAATAAACCTTATGTCAAGACCAAGTCTTACACTGAATGATAACCTTCAATAATAGTTAAAGGAAATAGTATCTTGATTATTCAACGAAAAATTTATATTCTGAGGTTTTCTGTGCCTAATGTAGCAAGTTATTCATGGTTATTAAGAAGTATCGATATTGTAGTCATGACGACTGATAATAATATATGTTTTCTCATTTTCATGGCCTACCACATTTGAAAATGTTTTCAATGTTCTTTGGCACTATTTTCATTCAATGGTATATAAAAACAGATATAGCGCCCATAAGAAAAACGTAGTTTGCATGTTAAATCTCTGAAAATATTGAAAAATATTTCTGACAATCCCTACTTCTTCATCATGATCAATCACCTGTTTATATACAAAATTTCAATAGTTTTTCCCAAATATTAACTAAGAAAAGTTTTTTCAAAATATTTCAGGAACGGCAGACATTTTTTGAAATTGTGAAACGTCAGAATTCCAAGTAACAATGTCGTCATTCCGAGTAGAAAGTCTGCATTCGAAAATGAAATTAAAAACGTTGCTTTCTGGCGCGATAGCAGCGCGTTTTTTCTTTCTTTGCTTTCTTAGAGTCTTAGTATACCAGGGGCAAGGGCGCCACTGGGCAAAGGCGCGGAGGGCTTCGCCCTCCCGCCCTCCGGGCCAGTCCACCCCTGTGTATATCACAAGTAGAACTGATGGTAATTTTGTATACGGATTATCACGGGCGCCTAAAGTTTTCGAACCATTCCCAAACCTCCTTGTCAGAACAATGTCAGAATGGGCACAGTCCACAGTGAATAGTTAGAATTATTAACGAGACCCAGTGGGCTGGCGCCATGCTATCAGTGGACTAGAATGAAACCAGCTGACCAAACTCAACCTCTATATTTTCATTGCGAAAAATAAGTATAAAAATTTCAAAAATACACGAATCTCATCATATCATGTGAAGGGAATGGTTCGAAACACTTAGGCACCTATGAATTATCATCAGTTCTACCAACCTTGTGAATATCATACAGCTAGCGACATCAACCGGAATTCAGTCCCAAGTACGACGAATTTGTTCTTCACGAAGAATCCTATAGTGCTTGAAAGTGCATTTCATTCAATAGGTACTAAAATTGTGCGGAGTTGAATCTTTGGTCAACTGAGGGCGTTCATAAAGTGTCTTAATAAAGTGCGTAGTCAATGTTGGTAGAATTGATGATTATCCATCAACTCTACCAACCTTGTGCGTAGTCAAAGCTCAAAGTCACTCAGATCATTTCCTGTTTGATCTAAAGGCTAGAGACTATAAAATCATAGATTAATTAATCTATGATAAAATGCTATAAACAATCTAAGGGCACAGTATAGACGTTTAGGTACGCTGCTTACATACTATTTCCGTAAGGGTCAAGGCCACTGGCAAGACATGTTTGCTCTGTGTGAGATGTTTATAAGCGTTTATAAGGCATTTCTGTGCTGTTCTGTGTATGAACAAGTTATGTACTTTTGTGGTTCCATGTCACTGAAATTGACCCATATGTCATAATCAGATTGTGAAATGTGAAATTGAAATGTCAAAAACAGCTGTGAATGTTTTGAAATATTGTTTTTGTTTCTAGTTGAATCACATTATTTGATATTAACGTTTCTAAAAGTTTTTTTGGATCAAAATGAACGAAGAAATAGACGAAAGTGAATTTTACCATCAAGATTTCACAACAGCCTCAGAATGGGAAGTATTTATGGCCCGCATGGAAGAAATCATAAACCAATGGAAAACAGATGATATGAAGAATGAAAAGATCACTGATATAATAAATGTGTGGGACATTAGAAGTGAGAAATTGACTTTTGCAGATACAGATTTTCTTCTACATGCATATAAAATGGATATAGAAACCCCAGACAATTCAGAAAGCAGTGATGAAATAGAAAAACAAAATGATATACCAATAGACTCACTATATGATTTTGAACTATACAATGAGAACAACAATAATGTACATTCATGTTTATCAACCTGGTATGGTCTGAAAGAATATATTGTTCTTGCTCCTACTAATAATGTCAACATCACATCTGAAAACAAGATAAAAATTCTACTCAGCTCTGCCTACATAGTGTCAAACAATACCAATTGTGGCATACCTATCTTTGTTCAAATACGAGAGAGATGGCAAAACTGTTATCTAGGAGTTTTTGAAAATGAAGCAATAAGGACTAATTTTGAAATGGTGCATTTGAATAAGGGTCCACCACAGTGCTCATACCTGAATGGATTACTGGACCTCTTCAAAACAAAAATAATGTCACCTTGCAATATTGAAAACATCCTAGTATCTGTTCAAATGACTTACACTCTCACAGATTTTGGTAATTTCATTTGGAAACAAGAACTTCTTGAAGGAGACTTTGATACTGAATCACTATTCATATTACCATTTGGAGTCTCTGTTGATCCAATCAATTCCATAATTTTGAAAGCAACTTGGAGTCATCTACCTGATCACCTCATCATAGATAGTGAGATTTATTCTGATTTGGATCCAATTGCAGCTCCAAAATGGTCTTGTTCAGCAAACATTACTTATGAACCAGTTTGTTTATTAGGGGAAGCACTGTCAGAATTTTTTCAAAACTTGAGCAACAATTCCAGCATCTACAATGTCCTGGGAGATTTTGCAGCATCACTTTCTATGGACAGGTAAATCACTTTATACATAAAGTTATATAAACATCAAAAAAATATATACAGGTGTTCATTTTCAATTCAGGTACCTACTTTGTGACCCAGTTGCAATCCTCACTTCATTCTAAAAGACATCTAATAGAAGCTACACAGAAATCTCACCAGTTCCACATTGAATCCAGGGCAATATTTATAGTTGTTCATAAAAAATAGGAAGAGATATAATTGCCAGAGTAATTGCCTGAATTGGACATTTTGTCTGGTCTTATATCTTCCAAGCAATGTTGATCTGTGATCTGAAGCGCTTTTTAGTGTCAAGAATGGTCAACATTGAGAAAGAACAAAAAGCTGATTTGCCCACTGATAGAAGCAGTCTTTTTGACAGTAAAATTTATAAATGTTTTTGCTTCCTAAGAATAATTTTGTGGAAATGTGAACATTTTGCTAAACCTCTGCCCATTGTCTTGAATATTCTCCAAATAAACATATCAGTTCAAATGACCAAATTTCAAATGGTGTCAAAACCATATGACAGTAATCGAATTCACCAAGAATACCTTTTTTGTACTAAAATAAGTTGATCAATCCAAATGTCAAACTCAAAGGCATGTTTTAATATTAATAATAATGATAGTTTTTTTCTGTGTCCGGAAATTTTTTCGACATCTCATCTCTGTTGACAGGTTATGAAATGTAACTTTTCAAAAATTACTTTTTTCCCACGGGAAGTGCTTGTTCTGAAAAATAACCCAATAACACCATCTCCGAGAAAGAAACTGTAAGTCCTTTTATCTTCCATTCCACTTTGCAGTTATACTTTAATTACTAAACAACCACTGAATTCGCAATTTTTTAAAATCAAATCACAGAAGTAGACTAACATATTCGATTACTTCAAAAGTATATAAACCTGCCAAAAGATGCCTGCACGGCAAGTGTAATTCCTGTTAAAAACTTAAAATTTCACGTCGACAATTTTCTGATTTCAATATAATATAATATCTTCTCGATATTAATTCGTCTTTTGCCCTGTCACAGAAAAAAAATATTTATTATACACGGGAAAAATATTAGATTTTAGCTCACGGTTTTTGGTCTCCCTTCCCTACGTTCCTGGAGACAACACAACCATGAGCTTATATCTACTACATTTTCCCCATGTATAATAAATATAACTATCATTCATAATAACAAAAACTTGTTTTTCATGAACAAGCAATCAAAAACGATTTGAACATTTTAACTTCAGTGCTGTCTTGTGGTCTAACCTCGGCTCAAACTCAGGCTCAAACTCGGGCTCAAACTCGGGCTCAAACTAATAAGCAATTTTGTATTATGATACCATTTTGTGCAAATCTCTTAGAGGTACCTTGTAAATAGATATTTCTACTTGATTATACATTCAATCTTCGAATCCATTTGTAACAGCCCATTTTTTTTATCTAATATTTTTGTGTGACAAAGCAAATCTATGAATCCCTCTATGTAACCGTTTGAATGCGAATAAGGAACTATTCTGTTTTAGTAACCCATTAGATTTGTTGACGGAGCCTGCAGTTCCTGCGATTACTGCTTTGCTGAGTAGGGCAGCAAGACACTCCTTGTCCAGGAATCGAAGAGCTAACCCACCTATTAATGAATCTGTTCTGGTTCCCATGCTGTATTTTCTTTTTCCTGATGCTGACGAAAAATCTACTTATCCCTATGGATGGAGAGAAGATAATGAATCTCTCAAAAGGAATGATTCTAATGTGAGATTTTGCATTTTTTGAATCCAATATAATTATCTTTATTTTCAGAATGAGATACTTAAGAAATATAACATACATGCAAATGGTATATCCCACATTATTAAAGACAATAATTATTGTTTTCTAGGCCATGTGTGAAGAGGATTTTAAAGGATTCAAAACAGTTGCCGCTGATTCCCTATGCTGGCGACTATCAATTGTTTTGGCACATGCGCTTCAATCGCTTGGAGGTGTCAAAGCCTTCTGTCACGTCTGGTACGAGTTTGTGCAGGAGATGAGGTACCGATGGGAGAAAAGTATGCCTATTCCTGGGTAAGTCATACATTATTTAGGAATGACTTGACTCCTGCTCAGCTGTTACTTTGGTGAATTTCCATCATCTAGCAGAAAGTCCACTCAATTTTCATAAAATCGTTCATCATAATGTTACTAACTCATAAAGTTCATTAGGATGAAGATGACTATCTGGATTACAGAAAATGGTTGCATATAATCAAATAGGGGAAGTATGATAGATATGCATATCATTCAAATCAAATGATTTGATTATGATTATGTATTCGGATTCTACTTTTTTAAATGCCCTTCTTTTATTATGTGCTCTTCAGCAACTTGCTATATTCAGTATTTCTTGTTCTAATTGTAATGCTTTTACAACAACAGGTTTCTGCCAGTGTTTTTTATTGTCAATCCCTTGGTCTTGGTGGTCGAGAGCGTGTAGGCGCTGAGTTCGTATGGGGACTTCCACCGAGACATAGGTTCGAATCCTAGTTAGGCCATGGATGTTTGTGTTTGTATGTATACCTAACCCCGCACAAGTTTCGACTTATGGGGCGTTTGGTCCCAGTGCTGGGACCAACGTGGTATGCAATTGCAAAAAAAGAAATCCTCCGTTTAATGCAAAATTTTTGCCCAAATGATTCCTGATCTCATGTTCGCATGTGTGCATAGGTGCCAAAGTTAATAGTAAATGCAAATGCAAGAATATGTCGATTTTTTTATTGAAATCAAGTATAAAACAAAAATATATACAAAAATTGTAAAGTTCATCGAGTTTAATAAATAAATGGGACAATCTTCCAAGTAACAAAAAAAATCAGTTAAGCTCTCAATATTTTATAAATAATATATTTTGTCTTATCAATTGAAAAAATTAACGTAATTATGTACAAATGTTTCCTAACTTAAGTATATTACATAACAAACAAATCCCATAAAAACACATTCAAAAACACAATTGTTCCAAGAGATTTTTTTTATAATATTTGTCCAATATTCATTTGATTATTTTCATCAGAAGTTTGAAATTCTGAATCAATTTATCATCCTTCATATTGACTACTTCCATACATACTTGAAATTTGTAAAACATTGTTATGTTTATACCTCATATTCAAATCGCCGTTTTTAAGAAGTGACTTTATTAGTTTATAACGCCTTCAGAGAAAGCATGTCAATTTAATTACTGTACGGGTGCTCAGATAGAAATAATAATGGAGTAATTTCAATAAATAGTTACTAAACTGATGATAGCTCTCGTCTACATCTTATAACGGATCTGATTGGTCACTTGTATACAAAGTAAAACACACTTGCATATTGTAGATCAGATCATGTTCTGGGACAAGCACTATCACCTCTGCTTATCTGAATCTAAATACCACATGGGTCTTTACATGAAAAGACTTGAATAGTCCATTACAATGTTGCCCTAGACGGTAGATGCTATCGATCGAACTGTATATTTACAGTTTTGAGTCCATCATACGATAACGAGCATCAACTTTTTCATCGATATCCCTATAAAGGAACCAGTCCGTTTCGCGTAGTGTTTCGCGCCATATAGATTTCCATATCGTGGTCTGTCCAATTGTCGGAATTGTCGTGATAGTTGTTGAGGGTATGTGTCGATCCGGCGGTGCTATATCTGCTGCTCGGCCTGTTATGGTCACGTGACCTGGACCTGGGTCTGGATCGTCTGGTGGACGATATGACGGAGTTCGTGGCGGGAAGGTGGTGGGGTGCCATCCGGGATGACATCCTGTCCGACTGCATCGCTAGGGACTGACGCGATTGACGTAGATCTGGAAATGTAATTGGAATATACAAGGTGTCCCGTGACTCGATGCCCGTAGCTTTCGAGTCACGGGACACCCTGTGGTATACTTCTTTTATATTTTAAATGAACGAAAAGGAACATTTTAATCGTCTGTATGTTAACCATACTGACTACTTCTGGTAGTTCAGACGCAATACAGACGTTATAAATAATATTTTGAAAATACCAGAGTCGCTATATATATGTATAACCACCTCAAACTTCCAAAGGAATTCAGCACACTTCTTATCTCAAGGTTCTATGAAATAAATACGTACAATAATAGATGTGAATGGCATAGGGGATAGTAATTTTAATATGCATTTCGAATTCAGGAGTTTCTCTCATGTATTTTACCAATACTCATCACGGTCGTTACAGTTCATCTTCTTCATAATGTATTAAGGAAAATACCTACAACCGTACAAGACTAACAGTAGTTCTATTGAAAATTTTGTAAAAAAAAAATGTTTAAAGAAATAACGTTAACATTCAATGATCATCCTTGGATGCATTTCTATTATATGTAGAGATACTCAAGTGCTTGTCTTATTGAATTGTTATTCGGTAAATTGTTAATTAATATCGAAATCATTTTCAGTCATCAGGTGGAATACTTATTCATTGATAAATCATACCTTTTCTGAATAGCAGAAAGTTATTTGGGAAAGCATAGGAGTGTCGCCTTGGAGGAACAAAAGAGCTAGAAGCTAAGAAAGAAAGAAATAAGTAAGAATAGATTGAAATCTGAAATATATAGTTAATATACAGAACAGAATGAAGTATAAGCATGCCATAGAATATACATATATACAGAGTGACCCGTTTGAAAGCGGCCCACCCCTGTATCTCACGTAATCGTTGGGTAAGGATCATGAAATTTGCTGGAGCGAGAGATATACCAAAAATGCACTCTATAACCAAGTGTGGTCATCTTCAGTTATATACACTGCTCGCCAACAGCCATGGAACCACCCCAATTTCCTGAAAATGATATGAGGAGTCAAAATATGTCCAATTCACTAACTATTCATATTTTTCCTTGAAAATTTTCAGTTTTGAAACATTACATTTTGTCGCACTTTTCATGGAAGCGCACCCCCGTATCTCACGTAATTATTGTGGTAGGGTTCTGAAATTTGCAGGAGGAACGGAAAGTCCAAAGATGAAGTCAATTACGTGGGATACGGGGGTGCTTCCGTGAAAAGTGCGACAAAATTTAATTTCTCAGAACTGAAAATTTTCAAGGAAAAATATGAAGAGTTAGTGAATTGGGCGTCCTGATTTCGAATCCGAAGTGATTTTCAACCTATTTTGACTCCTAATATCATTTTCCGGAAATTGGGGTGGTTCCATGGCTGTTGGCGAGCAGTGTATATCACTGAAGATGACCTCACTTGGCCATAGAGTGCATTTTTGGTATATCTCTCGCTCCAACAAATTTCATGATCCTTACCCAACGATTACGTGAGATACAGGGGTGGCCCGCTTTCAAATGGGTCACTCGTATGTGGATTCACAATACTTATCACTATTCTAAAAGTTGAAGATACCTACCTCGTTCTCTATCTGCCAGTTCATCAGAGTTATTATATTCAGTCTATGCAGTTGGAAAAGTTACGTTTTATGCTTCGAATTCAAGAATTCAGTTTTGAGTCGACAAATTTCCTTTTAAGTTTTAATAGATTAAGCTAGAGTTCAAGAGGCAAAGTTCTGATGGATTATGAGAATCATATTTCTTGAAATTGTACTTTTAGGGCTGGTCGCATAAAGATCTCTGTAGACTCAATGAGGGATTAACTCTCCTAACTTGTCAACTAAGGCATACGTTGCCATGGATAAAAAAAAACTGAATATTGAATCGTCTCTCAAATGCTTTATACAACCGGCTCTTATAATGTTCAGATAAATTAATTCACAAGACTATGAATTATTCACAAACATATTCAGGGAATGTTCAGACATTTCTCTTTATCATAATAAGATTTTATTGATCAAAAACATGAAACAAACGGAGATTTCTTTGCAAGTTTGTAAATGGATGCTGATCATCTTCATCTTGTATTCTTGTAGGTACCTATAGAATACACAGTTACATATACTTATGGAAGAAGGTTCAAAATAACTATACCACTACTACTATAGTTATTACCTCAACTTTTTCGCCACAAAATATTGTGAATCCTTAGTATATGAAAGAAAAATAGAAAAATCAGAAGAATTTGAAATAGGAAATAAAGCGTAGAGGCAAACAATCACCGTGTTGCTAATTTCAACAGTGATGTCCATTAAGGTCACGTGATTCGTTCAACAATTCAACTGTATAATATCAGATGAAGATGCATCATCTGAACAACTCAGCAACACGATTGATGAAATCAGCATAAAGAGGTGATCAAATAAAATCGGTTCAAACCAAAATGTGTGAGGTTATGTCCTACTGGTGCCCGTATAAGTACTCACACCGAGTCGTCCATACCTACTTCACATCATACCTTGCCTGGAAGCCAGAAGGTTGTTCGGGAAAGCGTTAGATGTCAAGTATCTCCCAGATTGATTGGAGAAGCTGTGCTGTGATTGGCCGTCGGCGATCGACCTAGGCTTATTACCTTTGGGGGGGCCGAAGTGGGGTCGCATGTCCTCGAGAGAGGGTGGTTGGTCCACCATGTACATCCTGGGCCTCTGGCTGTGCGTACTGTAAGCCGATACCTGATCCCAGTCCTACGAAAAATTCAAATTGATATTCATAACATATTATTGTCAAAAAAAAACGAACTGAAAATGAGAAATTGAGTAGGTAGTGAAATTGTTCCTAGTCAGTTGTTTATGGGCAATCTGTTTTTATTTTCCGTGCAATAACCCATGCAAATAGATCCAATTCAACATTTGTCAACGTTATATTAGATGCCCTGAACGAAAAAAGCCAGTAATGACGCCATAAGCCGAGTCGTGTCTTCTTGTCTCCAGAGTTAATAGCAAGGCAGGCACGGCCATCACCATTGAAATGATCAGAAATTCACCTCTTTTTCATATTTCAGAGCTCACTAGAGTGAATCCTTCTCGGAATCCTTATTATGATTATGGAAAATCGTGCGTATGGGTACTTGGGAATACCTTCCTAGGTAATACATTTAAAATCTTTGCCGTTTTATAGACAAACGAGTTTTCGAAAAGAGTTGTTCGACAAATTTCAAGGTTGACGACAAAGAGATGTGTGCTGACTAGGCTTGTCGAGTTCGTCTCACTGGTATAGCATCTTTGGTATAGCTAACGATGGAGTGATAGCCAGTTTTGCCGATTCAGGATGTCAATTTGTTCTAGAAGTCATTCCGAAATTGTACTAAATTCAAGTATATTGTACCAAATTGAGAAAATAACACTTCAAAATTTACGATTCACACACTTGATGAAAAACTTCATATTCATTTATAAAATTTTAAAATAATAATTTACAGCACATTAAAACACCTCTGAAAAACGTAGGTCATGAAACAATTATTACTAATGAAAGGCGAACATGAGAGATGAAAAGGAACAGATCAGATTATAGATTGAGATCAAATAATATCATACTATCAATAACATGAAAAAGATAACAAATACTTCAAAGTGATTCGACTTTCATCATCATTTCATCAATTGTTTCTCCATAGAATTGGAAATTATGGACTTTTTATCAATGAGGGCTTCATTAGGATTCCAATTATAACATATCTTCTCCAAATAATTGTTCTGTATGCAATAATAGCTTGGGCTCTTGTTTTTGTACTAGATTAGTGTTAATTGTATTGACGTACTAAATGTGTATGAAATGTTCTAGAAAAGTACAATAGTACTAAAAACGGCAACTCTGGTGATAGCCGAGTATCCAAAGAAAGTGGAAGGTTGCCGATTGACTTTTTTACGGTGTTTCAAAATGATTTTTGCGGGAGAAATGAAGAAAATCCAAAAACTCATTTTTTTTTGGCAATATTTGAAAATTGAAGGTGAGGAAGGTCGAGAATTCTAAATGAGCACCTTGCCCTTATTCAACCACCAGGTCGTTCACAAATAACATATATATTTCTGATTATGTTGTGAAATGTAATGAATTGAAAAATGTCAGACTATCATAATGGGTTTGTTTATTCAGTGAAATAACATTGTTGTCATTCAATGAAATGTTGATTTCAAAAATCTCTAACAGTCGTGGAGATGACTTTGTGTATCAAATAGTATTTAATACTTGACTCCACTTTGAGAAATCATGGACTTCTACCAAAGATTAGTGTCATTTTGTCTATGTACTTCACCCACCTTGGCGTTGTTGAAGGCGTTCAGGGCGGCCAACGACGACATGGGCTCACCAGGACTGCCCGGCAGCCCGGCACAGCAATTAACCGGCAGCCCGGCGATCGGCACGCCGTGCTTGAGCGCCCTCTTCTGCTGCAGCTCGTGCATCTTCAAATCAAATCAAACATGATTAATTAGTCCTAAGAAGAGTCGTAATATCATTGAAAAAGCATTAATTGTGTCTACGTCATTAAAAAATAATAATAATATGTGAGGGGCTCGGAACTGAACCAAGTCCATGTTCGGTAGATTTGAGATAAAGTGATTGGAAATTGCTTGTCAGTGGTTAATTCCTATAAATGCATTCTGCTTTATTGTGTGAGAGACTTTCAAAGCAATATTTCCCTTCTCTCATATTGGACTTGTTTCACGTTTTTAGTGAAGATTCTATGAATAAAGAAGATGAAAGCTCAACCTGAAACAAGAAAGCTTCATTTTCGAAATGGGACTAAATAAATTCTCTGTTGCACTTCCGGTACTAAAGGGCAGATGGGCAAGATTTTTTTTTCTCAATGCTAGCTGAACTGCTCAAATGACAAATTGATCAGTAAAAGGGGTCATTAACGATCAATTTCATAAACATTGAACATATACACGTTGATACAAAGTGGATGGAAATAGCTTTTTGTAACCAACTAGTGTATTAATGTGGGTGATTAATGATCGAGATATCTCAACGTGCGAGCAAAGCGAGCGTTCAAGATCATTAATCGCCTTTCAATATTCGAGTTGGTTACAAAATTGTTCCGTTGACTATATTTCTCATTTCTCCTGCAATGAAGAAAACTTGAATCGCGAATTCATCATTCATCCGGAAACTACTGAGAATCACCAGCAGTAGCCTTGTCACTGAAATTAGTGACATTTGACATTTTTCGAAATAATCAACATAGAAAATGAATTCCCTGTGTAAGAAAACAGGAATTAAATTGTTTCAGGAACTTGTGTAATGGCTAAACCGTTAACGAAAAATCTTCGATGATTACGTAAGTTATAGCATAAACAGTGAATGGACGTTGTGTACGTTTGGTTGCCTATGCTACAATCGTGCATTATTAGACAAATTGAATAAATTGATCATTAATAGGCGCCATTAACGATCAATTTCATAAACATCAAACGTACTCGTCAATACCAGCAGGTCGACGGAAAATAGTATATTATGTAACAGGTGTTATAAACGTCATTTTAGTAACGAGTATTTTGAACACGAGCGGAGCGCAACGGAACGGATGTCTAGCAGAGTTTATGAACGCATTTCATACTATACTTTTTTTATGAACTCATAAATTCCCCAAATAGATAGATAGATAGATAGATAGATAGATTTATTTGACTATGTAACTCATACAAGAATGGTTTATAGCAAGTCAGTTTAAAAGCACACAAATGGTAATGTGTTTAGGAAATTGTGTTGCCATGGTAACGTCAATAATCAACAGATCACCAATTCGTGATTAATCAACTAATTTATCATAACTTGGTAGATTTCAATGCAAACAAAACACAAGCATGCCTTTTCTCTAGAAAAGCCGATCTCACTGTGCCCAACATAAGCTTGTATTACTATCAGCAATAACCTTTCTTAGGAAAATCACGTGAGATCAATTGCTAAAAGTGCATCCCAAAAACTTGTTTTTTTGTTTCGGGCCAGGGGCTATTTCACTTCCAGGCACAGATTCGAACTGTCCTGGAATACTGTTCCTATATTTGAAGTGCAGCACCCAAACATACCCTGAAACTGTTGGATTCTGTCCAAAGAAGGTCAATTCGTCTCGTGGGTGATGCCTCGCTCACAAACTCACTCACTTCTCCGGAACACCGTATAAAAGTTGGCGATCTGGCTCTATTTCATAGATAAATTTATGGACGATACTCTTCTGAAATATCAACTATTGTTCCTCCCTTGGCAGTTCCCGCGAGATTAACCCGTCGAGTTGAAGCTTCGCACCCCTTCGTGGTCACTTTGGAGACCTGCAGAACATCTCTTTCCAAAGGTGTTCCCCGAGGCATATAACCTCCAGAAATTTGAGAAGAACACCAATTCCTACCTTATTTCCCTTGGTTCTCACGATGTTCTCTGAACATTACAGGATATGCCTTTTCGTGGGAACCAGAACATAAAAAAAATTGCGTGGTATATATCCGTACGTCAACTGCCATTTTAGTTATGTGAGTAGAAAAAACAATAATATGTAAGTAATATGAAAAAACAATCGTAAATATACCTTCCGCGACCTTCTTCTGGAGGCGGCCACGAAGACGACGACGGCCACGACGATGGTGCCGCAGATGGCGGCGCTGGCGGCAATTGTGATCTTGTCCATGTTGGAGGCGGCTGAGGAGACGGTGCGGACTTCGCGGCACTGCGCGTAGGAGACTGTTTCGGGGGTCACAGTGGTGTCCTCCAGGGAGACCACGCACACGATGATGCATTCCTGAATAACGAATAAAAACTTATACTTCATATCTGAAGCTGTAACTTTCCTCTTCCTCAGTTCCTCTTTAGTGTTGACTTCAGCCTGATAGACCAATCGTTTCATATGTTTCTATAGATAATAGTTCAATACTGTGAGTTTAGGGGACCTAGGGTGCCAAGAAGCGATTAGAAAATTGATACACACTGTAGTGTATATATTCCCTAAAATAGTTATAAGTACAATCGACAAGAGTTATAAGAATAAAAGTGCTTACATGGGGATACCATCAGGGGGCTGCCAAATATATCACATTCTTCATAAGCCATTAGGAAGGTTATTTAATGCCATTCAATTTAATGTTTTAATGATTTTGATATCTTGACAAATAGGTGAGATATTGCCTGTTTACGATACCTTGGGACACCCAGTATTTGAATTATAAAGGCTATTGAAAAAAACAACTCAATATTCTTGGAGGAATATTCATTAATTATTCAGGTTATGTTTGTGATTACTTTAGGAGCTCGCAATGGGGAATGCTCGATCTTGTTACCTCCAGGATATCCTTGGGTGCTCGCAGAAAGAAATGCCTATTCATTTCCTATTATGTATAACCTCAAGGATTAGCAATAATAAGGAATAATTCAAATCTGAGGCGAGATCTCCGCGATTTCTTTCGAACGACTCCAGAGAGTATTTCCCATGGTGACAGCCTATAGTGATCTTTGGCACCTCGCAGGAGGATTTCGCATTTTGATCCTGAAGATAACTACTTAGAGATATCGCCGAGAGTTCCATGTTACCTGGGTGATAGTTTATATTTTGAAAAATTTTAACAAATCACATCAACTCCTTACCTATACAAGGTTCACACAACGTGACAAATATACTGAATGATTCTCCACGTTACCCCCTACCAGTGAAGAAGATATATCTGATTCGCGGAACCCAATAGAATTCAAAAATGGGCCAAAGTTACGACCGTTTCTGGTTAAACCTTTGTGAGGTTTTGTAATGGATGCTCTAGTAATTTGATATACTCCAGCAACCATCAAATAGTTATTTATACACCAAGGTAGTAAAGATTATCATTATAGATATAGATAGATTATATCCCGAGGCTTTTGCCGAGGGGTATAAAGGTCCCGTGGTAATGATATTCTTTACTACCAAGGTGTATGTCAAATCATATGAAAGCACTTCCCTTCAATTCTAATCAAAATAATAGCCATGACTATGACAGCATATTATGTCAAGGCGTTATTGATAAATATACGTACTAGATTCGAGTCCTATTTCTGCGAATTTCGCATTAGAACAGTGAATTTTGGTTAATTATAACAGAGGTGGCTATGTCATTATTGCCTAGTGGTTCATAATATGACGAAAACTACCTTGGTAGTAAAAACAAACTTTACGCCTCGAAAAGGAGTAAATAATGGTAGGTTCTACAGCTAGTGGTGGAAAAAACATATGCGTAGACTGTATTTCTGTCAAGATTACGAATTGGCACTGGCCTCAAAAACCGCATCTGATTGCCAAAATTATCCGTGAACTCCATCGAACTCCCAGTAAAGAACGAACTAGTGGAAAACGTACAGAATAATATAGGGATTCCTTACCGTGCGCTCCAAAGGATAAAGAAATTATTCAATTGAAGCAGTAATGCAATGTGAAATTGAGTAACTCTATCAGAAAATTCACCAGGATACAACAAATCCTATTACTTACAATTAGAAATCGAATTTTAATGATTGCGGTCCCTATAATGAATGCATCATATGGGTAAATTATGAACTGCACGATCTTTGCCATCAGAGGAAATATAGAGCATAACGTTCGTTCCCGTTTAACCGATACCCAAAGCCATCTCATCATCTCGGATTCGCTTTCACGGAAGTGGAGTTACAAATCCGTATCGCAACAAGTATATATCTGAGTGCTTGTTAGAAAATTAAATATACCGATTAGTTATAGCCACGCCATTGTGGCTATACGAAAGAACTAAAACATGGTACAGGTACAGTACTTTCCTTTCAAACAATTCACCTTGATTAGGATCACCAAAGATACACATACCTTATTATGACCATGCATACCGGCGGTGTCATCTTCGGCTCTCCTGAGGTCACGTGATGATTCGATCAGATCACTAAGTAATTCAAAGTTATGTTGACTGTGCAGTATGCAATCAGTGAAAATCGCGTACAACGTCTAAAGTGAAATTTCCAGAAAATACTTTTTACCTATGGTTCAAACAAATAATAGTACCTACATCAGATCAAATACAAGATCCCTATCAAAACAATATCAAAACTATAAACAAAATATGCAGATAGACATGGTTTGTGGAAAAACCAAGTTGCCCACAGGAAATTTTATGAAACTGGTAACATTTATATCTTCATAGATGTTTCAGGATTGTTAGTACTGGAATAAAACATATTGCATAAATTGATAGATGTACAAGGCGATCAACATGCGTCGAAAGATAGTGCTCTTAGTTGTCTTATTATAACAACTCTGTGGTATATAAGCGTATTCATTCAGGTGTATTGAATCATTGATTATCATATTTCAATGTATTTTTCAACACAGAATTTTGGAACCTCAGCTAGAAGTTTTTTATCTTTTGGAGCGCACGAGAGGGTATTCATATTATGTTTAACGAACATCGTGCGTAACTAGGAAGGAGAGAGAGGTTGAGCTTTTGGGAATACATCCTTTGACAAATAATTCCAAAGCATCGCCGTTCTATAGACGAACGAGTTTTGATAAAGAACTGTTCGTTATATTTCGAGGTTAAGGACATCACTAGTGATGAAATGAACATTTCCTGTGGAAATATCTATATGAAACCGAAAGGTCGGCGACTTTTCTCCTGTGTCCAATGATGCCAAGAAGTTAGTGATTATGACAACTCTAGCCAGGTGAATGGTTTGCCTCCGAATGGAATCTAAGAGCATCAGGTTATGAATGGGTTCTGAATCTCACATCTCTCTAAAATAAAATGGAAATTCTGGAAGAGAAGGCAGAATGGAGAGTAATATCATCTGCGGAGCTGTGAGTAGGTGGTTACTTCTAATTGACATGGACTTGGAGATATTTTGTTAACTGCATGACCGGTTCAGTGAAAATCAAAAAATTACTATCAATGATGAAATGGTTGATTGAATATAGAGGTTGGAGTATCAAGTAGTTGAGAACTAATTTCATTATTCATCTCGTCGAAACATCTGTTCAGTAGTTCTGTCAGAGATCAGAGACAACAACACAAGACAACACAACATCTCATAAACATGATTCTCATAATACACTTTTGTCACTGCATACAAATAAACGCATTTTGCCATTCAGAATGATATTGATAACTTCCAGATCCATAGAATCTAGAATTGTATCGGAAAATATTCAAAAATCTGTCATTTCGTTTCCGTATACGTGAATAACTCACCTGCGAAGGTACATTCTTGATCTTAAACTCCCTCTCGCTAGCTTCTAGAGGTGGCCCCTGCTTGAAACTCTTGTCCCCAAACAATCTGTAAACCACCCGGAATCCCAGAATATTCGCCGTGTCAGATCCCCATTGGATGATGACCGAATTATCCTGCCTGAACGCGTTCTTCACCACCACCTCCCTGCCCTCTTCAGCCTTGCTTCTCGGGAAACCCATCACCATGGATGGTTTCTGGTTGTTCTTCCAGATCGGCGGGGACGTCTTGACTTTGGGCTTCGTGGTCGCCCTAGAAGTGGTGGAGGTGGTAGTAGAGGTCACTTTGGTCGTGCTAGAAGAGGTCGAGGTAGTCCTAGTCACTGTCGTACTCTTGGTGGAAGGTATCCTAGTGGTGGTGGTGGCCTGAGAAGGCGGAAGCCCTGGTTTGGCGGCCACCAGATCATCCAGATCTGCGCTGACGACAGTAGCCACTCCCACGGAGTCCCTGTGAGCTTGAGCGACGGTTTCTTTCTTCACATTGCCCAGCGTCGTGGTTGTTGCGGCTGGGGTGGTGGTGAGGACGGTTGGTTTCTTGTCGGAGCAAGAGAGCTCTTCGGGTTGGATGCTGTAGAAACCACGATCTCTGAATCTTGGAGGGCTGCCGCAGAATTGCGGATTACGTTCTCGGCTGGTGACTTGCAGGTCGCCATTGCGAATCCAATTAATCACCTGAAAATATACGTAGAATGGATAATCCCTACTGACTCTTCACTACACATCAATGTCACAAAGACATTTTTGTCGTTAATTTTTGATACTATCAATAAAAATGTTTCTTACCCAGGCTAGCCTGCAATCGCAATGCAAGAACCTTCCACCGAGACTTAATCCTCTCAGTGTGCTATTCAGATGCGAGAGTGCCTCGAACGGAATAGTTGCCAGAGGATTTCCGTCGAGCGCCAATAGAGTTATCGAGGGATTACCCTTGAATGCACCCACCGGTAGGTCCGTTAGGAGATTAAAACCGATATCCAGAACCCTGAGTTCAGACAAAGCGCTCAGAGCCCCAGTTGGGAAATCTGGAAGTAGGTTGTTGAGGAGGCTCAGAGAACTCAAGGTTTTGCTGACGCCTTGGAACGAATTATCGTTCAGGGTTTGGATGATATTACGTTCTAGGTTCAGAGCTGTCAAGGACCCAAGCCCTTTGAAGGTGTCGTTGCCGTTTTTGCCCGGCAGTTCTCTGAGGCTGTTTTGCGACAGATCCAGGAAGGCTAAAGTTCTCATGCCTTGTATGGCGCTGGGCACTTCCTTCAGCTTGGTTCCTTTGAGGTTGAGGTTTTTCAAGCAACCCTCCAGACCGTTCAGGGCTCCATGTTGCAAGGTGATGTTGTTGTCCGAAAGCTTGAGAGTCGCGAGTTTATGGAGAGTTTCGAAAGCACCACTGGGCACTACACTGATTTTGTTGTGCGATAAGTCTAAAAGCGATAATGTCCGGAGTTTCCGCAAACTGTTCACAGGTACATCACTGAGTTCATTGTCTTGGAGGTTGAGGTTTTTTAGGTGGTGTTCTTGGCCTGCGAAGGCATCACTGTGCACACTTTTTATTTTACAACCGGAGAGTTGGACGCTTTGCACTTGCAAGTTCACTAGGATGTTGGCTTTGAGTTCGCCCACTGTCGAATTGTTGACGTAGAGTAGGTCGAGAGGGGTAGCTGTGGCGTATTTGTTCAAGGCCGATAGAAGTGTGAGCCAGTTGACGATGTCACATTGGACGGAGAGTTCGTGGCCCAGGTTGTAGGAGCATATGCAGGAAGATAGGAGTTCTGGAACGTCCCGTTGCCAAGGACATTGGGCAGTGGCTAGTGCTAGCAGCGCTGCTGAGAACAGCAGGCTGGTTATAGATGGCTCCTTCATCACCTAGAAAACAATAAGTAGTCAGTTAGTCATTGGGATAACGAAGCACGTGACAACTAACATAATTCTCATATGAGGAGAAATTCGAAGATTGATTGGACGATCTCTTTCGAAAGTAATTTGGTTGTGGAACTGTTTCCATTAGTCAGTTTCTTAACACGTTATCCTCCATAGGTCATTTAAGTGTAACTGACAGGAAGAGTTTCAAAGAGGCTGCGCTAGTAACAGTTCGACGTCAGGCCATGCCAGTCAAAAATAAATAAAGTTTGAGTATCCCTGACTCACTAGTTGAAACCTGATATGAACGATTTGGACGCAGTAGAATATAGTAGTATTTCAAGGGGTAATAAATGAAAATCGGGCTACGTGTAACACGGTGGTGGTGATTGGAAACTAATAATGACCTTGCGCCACCTGAATTATTCCATTTCAGTCATTAAAGACTCACATGGCCTTAAAGTACATTCTGAGAGTGCATTCTGAGAATAAAAAAAATCCGTTTTTTGACTAACGGTATAGATTATTGCAGAACTACTCGCGCATGTGCTTCATGTGTACATAATATAATGTCACCCTTGTGTACAATTTTCAATAAGTCGATGGTGAATAAACCGTAATGACGATTATTGATTGATATTATTCTAATGATTACACCTAACTTGTTATTGCATGATGAAATATGATTGATTTAAAATTCAGTCACGCGTCTGGGAATGTTCTCTTCTAACTCGATTCGCCGTTAGCCATATAACCTTATCTGTGTTTGGTACCGCTAAAGCTAGTTGTATTTCATTAAAATTAGTGCATTGATTGTTTTGTTTCCTTATAGGTATCTCCATAATATGCCGTAATATGTTAGATATACGGGTAAAGTTTAAATACGGCTACTTCAAAATCACTTTTAGCTCGGTTGATATCGAACATAGTATTTGTTCATGGATATAGGCGTGTCGTAAATAACAGTGTAGAAAGGGATTATTATATAGTAACATATACTTTTGGGCTGCCCATTAAGAGGCTGTTTCGAGGGCTGTTTTCTTCAGATTTTCAGCCGAGGTCAAGTCCGACATTGGGTGATGATGAACGTTTAAAATGAAATAATCTTATGTCTATGTCAATCAGAAGTCATGGAACATCATAAAGCACTCGATATTAATGTAGAAATACTATGAAAGAAGCAAAAAGACCTGCCAAATCATTGAACGGGATACCAACAACCAGAAAAGTGTCATGTAACAATCAAAATTGCGTGTATAAATAATACACTAGTACATTATGAAATGCCTAGTTGAAAATGCAGAAACTGATTCGTTTTGGAAATTGTATCGTTATAGATTGATACATTACGGTATGCGATCTACTTACGTATCGGTATCGACATTTCTCCCACAGTGAAGTAGGTAAATGTATTTTCTCACACACAATGGAAATGTAGCGTATTATGTAAAGCGTCTCTTTTTTCTCATTATTGTAAATCGACCTATAATCTTGGAGAAAATGTAGATTTGGATATTTCATGGTAAGATTCTGGAAAACTCAATAGGATATCAAATATGGTTAAACCTATATATAATATAGGTTTATTCAACGGGTGAACAAAAATCGAAAATATTTCAATGACCCTGAGGGCAAATAAAATAGTAATAACATTATGTCATAATCAGATTTCCATTTGCGCCATTATCATTTGTTCTTTACCAAAAAGTGGACAACGAAAGAAAGTGTCCGAATGGTATAGTCCATGAATTGCTATTCAATTATGCATGTACAAAAAAAACTCTTGTCCAAACTCGATAGGACCGTTTTCGAAAAAAAAAAATTGATAATTCCATTCAAGAAATCTATTCTGAAATTTCGCACACTATTTCAGTCACATTACTGACTAAATTTCTGCCGTCACGAAAAGCTATCAGGGTGGACAAATAGTAAATTGTTTTATTAGGATCAAAAGTGACACTTTGTTTGACAAGCGAAGTTTGCATTTGCGAGGCGTAGCGTTTAGCGAAGCCGAGCGAAAGCAAAATTTGCGAGTCGAACAAAGTCACTTTTGATCCGAATGAAACATGCTATTTTTTCTGCAACCGAAACAATTAACTCAAATAAACATGTGAAGTGACCACCAATGCAGTGCCATATGTATGAAATGCATCAACAAATATTGACAAATAATCCATGTGGTGAGAATATTCTACCTGCATTAACAGCAGGTTAGGTTTTCTAGGATGTTCGAATTGTAGTTTCAATATAAATACAACCACAGAGTGACATATTTGTGTATGGACCAGGTGCTCTAATGGCAAATACCGTGCCAGTGCCAGCTATAGGAACAAGACGTGGAAAATGTTAGGTTAGTGAGCATATCAACAATGATAATAGTGATTATTTATTCCTCTCAATACTACACTGTGTTTGACTTGATGATCAAAATGAAGCTAAACAATATCGTTGTTTGAGACAAAAAAACTATTGCTTGCCGTGATTATTCAAAAACAAGTTATCCATCCCGAGAATAACGAATGAAATACAGATCAAGCAAGTATTTGAATCTTGAAGGTTTCCCTGATCAAAACAAAAATACCTAAGTGAGATGTTTATAATTCCAATACTAAACTATAATAAAGGTGTATTTATATCTCCAGCATGGGTATGAAATGCCAAATCTGCTGAAATCGTAAACAAATCAGGTATGCGTCTCAACCCAAATAACCAACCGTCACAATGTTGTTTATTCTTGATGACGTCCAGTACTTTAGCTCCTAGGAACTAAAATTCAACTTCAGCTCCTAGGAACTAAATATGTTGCCTAGCAACATACCTATATTTTTGTGTCAGTAATAGAAACGTCAATTTAAGAGCTAATTTTGGTATCAAAATGGACGACTTTTGTGTCGGTTGCAGAAAAAGAAGGATTTATGTATATTTTTTACTTTGATGATCTGGTATCTCGAAAACGAGTGATTCCAAATATGTTTTATGTTTAAAGGAACTAATTTTGAGTAGTTATGGAATGACCTACTCAAATATATTTATGTGACATTTAGGAATAGCATGTATTTCTATATATATTTTTATTTTCATTATGTTCATATGAAGGAGGGTGTTCACAAACAAAGCAGCGATACTTGCATAAAACTACCTCTATATCTACTGATAAAATGAACTGAAATGGGTGAGTGAACTAATAATGAATTATTGGCATTTAATTACTCCACTGTATCGTCAGGGACCTGAATTAATTTTTGCAACACTTCTCACGGTTTTTTTATGTGAATAATGAGGCTATGCGTTGTTCGAAATTGTTGAATTTCAGAGCTCATTTCAAACGTACCGTCATGACCGCCATTTGGCGATACGTCGAATAAATGGTGACGTCAGTTTTTATGCTGTTTCGTTATTGGTCAGATAATCTCTCATTCCAACTCATGAAGCAAGGTTGCTAAGTTACCAATTATAATCAAGTTATCAAAAAGTTGTTAGAGTCATGTCGTTGAATTAAACACAACAGGGGGAACCCATGATATTATAGTTAATTCTTCATTGTTTCGAGCAACCAGCATGACCAAATATTCCTTATACTCCATAACAAAATATCATGTAAATGCTGGAGACTTGGCAACATTGTGATGAATGCTGAGAACTGACAGGACCACGCCCACAATTCATGCGCCGTTGTTGTCACGCTTACCCGAGCGTTTACCAGTGCAAATGTCCTCTAGTGTGAATTGATATGATTTTTATTTACACAAATGTATTATAACCAATAAGCACCAACACATGACGGAACATTTTGAGATAATCGATTTTTTAATGCTTATTAGGAATATTACCGAGAATTTATGGATTATTGAATTACTAATATTTCTGAAGTTCCCAATCGTATTTCAAGATATGGCAACTGTGCTATGGTCTATGGTCTGCCCCTACTTATTAGATCGTTACGTCAGTTTTTACTCGTGGTAAGTTTCTAGCCGTTTGAAAAGTACCGTGGAATTGTTGATAATTTTGACACCTCAAAATGGGCCAAACAATTCTGAAAAAATATAAAAATATGAGATTGAAAAGTATTTGAGTGATGATTCTATTTAAGAAATGAAAAGAAATTAGTCCACTCCCCTATTATCCTATTGTCGGAAGCAAACTATACAAAAAACTCAAACTAGAATGATATTCATACATTCAACAATTAGATTTCATTTACTCGTTTCTTCTTCAACCTGTTACTTAGAAAATGTCAGATTGTATACTTTCAATTTCAATTGTCATCCTTCAGATGGGTTCGACTAGCACGTTTAATTTGATATCCGGGAGGAGCTTGTATATTATATAAATATCTATATATTTTAAATATCCTGTCCATACGTCTTCATATTATCATAATTTCTCACATCGAAAGATACTGGTCACGTTGCAAGTTATTATGTCGATTGTCGAGTTACCGGATATTACACGTGATTGGAATTCCTTGTCAGTAGCTCTAAAGCATCGAAAGTAAGATTACCGTATGTATAAGTCTACTAGATGACTGAAGGATATACTCTGCAGCATAAGTATATAGAAGTACCATTCGTGATCGATTTCCTGCTGACTTCTGCAACTGATGAGACTTGGCAACCCGAAACAGTATCTCTTGTATAAGCTCTCAATCGACTGGTCAACCAGAATCTCTAGATCTTATGATTATTCGTTACTTAATGTTAGTCGTATCAGCGAAAAATTCATACCATAAGTTTAGTAGTAAGTACCATATTCTTTCTGTATGAACTGAACAGAATGCAATGTCATTGTAACCGTTCAATAGGGAAACACCTTGTGTTTGTTAGTTCCTCATTTTTATCAAGTTGTCACTGAAAAGTTTGAACTGACATAAGCAGAGACAATATGGAATAGTTATTTGCTTTATTAGGCACTAGGCAGCAAAGTAGTAGATTGACTGCCGCGTCAATCTACTTTGCTGCCATGTGAAACATATAATTTCTTCTCCGAATGTTTTTATTGAAAACTCC